CCATCTCAAGGCTTCAGCACTGAGCGGACTGCCCCAAGCGGAACACGTCCCTGAAATTTCTTATTTTATCTCTTAATATTACAATATTTTGCCCACACTCCACAAAATGTACACTTAACGTGGATGTATCTTAAGTAAATGATACCTCAGTCAAGTTAATTTTTTTTAAAGATTAGAGGACTTTAATGTTGGACCTTTTAATACATCCCCATGAGGTCAAGTTTTATTAAGAAAATAATGGCCTTTCAAACACCTGCACGGGGACCTGTGGGTGCGCGCAGCTGAGCCGAAGCAGCTGGGCAACATTCTGCTCTAGTTTCTGGCTTTACAGAACTTTCTTGTGACACAGGTATAAAAGAGTCTACAAAGTGCACCAGGACATCTGCTTCAAAGAGAGCTGTGAAAGCACAAGTGTCAAGAAGACCCCAAACAGGTACCATCCCAGGGAGGAGGCCCACACTGTGTCCTGCTTATAGTTCACAGGGTAATGGGGCAAGGGTGGCCCTGGGGACTGAGCACTATGGGGTGCCACAGTCCTGCGGGCTGAGCCAGGCTGTCTTGTCTGTGTGTCCACACATGCAGTCCTGCACAGCCGTGTTCTGCTTAGAAACTGTGCACATACATGTACACCTGAACACATACAGACTGGTAGAGCTGGGCATGGTGGGAGCCGTGGGGTCACACAGTGGGGGCTGGAAAGTCACATGGTGGCTGCTGGGAGGGTCATATAGGGGGAGGCAGGGGGAGATCACATAATGGGTGCTGGGGGTCACATAGCGGGGGGGAGGTCACATAGTGAGTGCTGGGGGAGCTCTCCTGGTGGGTGCTGGGGGAGTCACATGGTGGGTGCTGGGAGGGGTCACATCGGGAGAGCAGGAGAAGATCACACAGTGGGTGCTGGGGGTGTCACACAGTAGGTCTTGGAGGCTGGGTCACACGGTAGGTGCTGGGGGGGTCACATGGTGGGTGCTGCGGAGGTCACACAGTGGGTGCTGGTAAGTCACATGGTGGGTGTGGGGGTCACACAGTGCTGCTGGGGAAATCACATAGTGGGTGCTGAGGGGGTCACACGGTCGGTACTGGGGGTCACTCCGGTACTAGAATTGGGAAGTATGGAACATTATTGACAGATTCAAGAATGTGACTACAAATATAGTAAATCTCTAGTTTTTATTCACTCACAGCCAGTTCTTTCCCCAAAGGGCTCAAGAGAGTCACAGGGATGATTACCTAACATGCTGCCTGGGTGCGTTAGGCGCCTTGCCAACAGCAGAGCCCTCACCCCAGTCATAGGCCAATCAGTGGCCACACCCCTTAGATCTTGGGTTACTAAGTGTCGGGCAATGCAATTCAACACCTGCTTGACCCAGCACGTACCTATCTCTTCCACTTTCCTTCTATACCCTCTTCCCCTCCCCGTGACTCACTGCTGGCCAAGGGGATGCACACAGACCAAAATGCTAATCTCTGCATCGGTGTCTCACTAACAGTGTTCCCCAAAATGGAATATATGTGAGCCACAGACAAGACACCAGCAGGCAGTGTGGGTTCCAGGTACTTTCTTTTTCACAAACCACCTTTCTCTATTTCAGGAAACACAGTAACAGTCCAACACTGAAGAAATCTTAGGGCACAGGTACGTTCCCCACCACGTGGCAGAGCTGGAAGCCAGAGGCGCTGTCTCTTCGGGGAGCTCCACTGTGCCTTCTTTATTATGAACTCCCAGACCAGGAGTTCCAGAACTCCCCGAGGGGTTAAAACGGGAGGGAAAGAAAATACCTAAAGCCTCAGGATAGCCGTAAACCTAGTACAGATGCACCTCCAGGTGGAAATGAGGCTGTCTGGGCGTGCGGGCAAATCTCACTCACCTCAAGCAAAGGGAGAACCCCTTTCCCATCAGCAGCAGCGGGTGGCGACGGGGGTGAGCACCCAGCGAGGGGTATGACCACCTGGCCCCTCAAGGGGGCTGCTGGAGGGGGCGGCGGGGAAGGGGCGGGCAGGGGAGGACGGCAAGAGGGGCCCCTCAAGCACAGACATGGGAGTGCAGGCGCTCAAGAGAGGGCTTCCCAAACCCTGAGAATGGCAATCTCTCAAAAGAAAAAATGTGGTGTGGGGCCTCAATCACATAACTTTGGGGAAATCCTGAAGACTGTCCCACTGGGGAATTCCCAATGGACGCAGGAATCCTAAGCGCTTGGAATCCTGGAATGAGAGAAACTCTCTAACCCTATTCCCATTCAATCTGGGATTTCCCAAAGTCTTCTGGCAACTCAACACCATCCAGGCCTTACTTCACACCCACAACTCTTCAGTGTCTTCATTACAGTCAGTCGGGAGATACTGGGCTGAACCGCAGCGACCCACCTACAGCCCACAATCAGCCTCCCCCGCTGAGCGGTTTCTTATTGACAGTGAGGTCACCGGAACGTTGGAGGAACGTGGCCCTAGGGCAGCTTACTCCTCTCATTCCATACGTGAGCCTCAAAGTCTACGTCCCTGGTGTTGATAAAACAGCGAGGCACCCGGGGAGCTGGCAGAGTCAGGAACAGGGCTACGCTGTCTTACGGGGCTGTGGAGATGGAGGAGAAACATTACCAAGAGCCTTTACCAACAAGGGCTTCCTGGGTGTAGGCTGACAGCACGGGGGGGGGGGGGGGGGGGGGGGGGAGTGTTTTGCACAGCCCATCGGGAAGACCGGCGCTGGGATCTGCTGGCATCTGCTGGGATCTGCTGGCATCTGCTGGGATCTGCGGCCCATCGTGGCCTCGGCAGCCATCCCGGTCAGACTTCTCCAGAAGCCCCTGCATTCAGCTCCTGTCTCTTCCGCTCCCCGCTCATGCTCCCAGGACACACAAATCCAAAACACGCTCCACAGCTGGTAAACAACTCCCCACTGGGAGTAAGAAGCCACAAACATAATTTGTGTTGGAAATACTGGTATCACAGCGAGTCACCCGAGAGTCTTCTTAAACTCAGCATTTCCAGCTCCATAAAAACAAATCATTATCAACTACCAAACAGTAGCTTTGAGGATATCCGTTCTTGATCGGGAATTCATTTCAGTCCAGAGTAACAGGGGGCAGCCCGGCCTTCAGAGGAAGGATCCCAGGGCACCACCAAATGGAGGGGAAGGGGAAGTAGCCAGCAGCTCTTGGCTCTAACAGCCGCATCCCCGCCCAAACATTCCCCCACCGCCCCCGCCCCCACCTGGGCCACGTAGATGGCGCTTCTAGCCCGCCTCCCTCCCTCCCTCCCTCCCTCCCTCCCTCCCTCCCTCCCTCCCTCCCGACCACGGCCACATTAGAGAGGGAAGCTCGCCCCCTTGAGGCGGGGGCGGCACGTCCTCTGTGGGCAGGTGCAGGGGCCAAGGGCTGCTAAGAGAACCGGGAAGCTGCATTATAAAGAGGAGCAGGTGGGGCAGCCCTGGTGGCGCAGCGGTTTAGGTTTAGCGCCGCCTGCAGCCTGGGGTGTGATCCTGGGGACCGGGGATCGGGTCCCACATCAGGCTCCCTGCATGGAGCCTGCTTCTCCCTCTGCCTGTGTCTCTGCCTCTCTCTTCGCTCTCTCTGAATGAATAAATAAATAAATCTTTAAAAAAACAAAAAAAGAGGAGCAGGTATCAGTCACCTCATGCCCCATTCTCTTTCTCTTCAAGGGATTCAGGATGTTCTTGTTAACACTTCATGAACCTCACGAGCTCCCAAAGCCCAGGAAGACGGGCTGTAAAATTGGATTGAAAGGACACCCTGAAAGAACAGGTCCTGGCTCGCATCCGCCCCCTCTGCGGCTTCCCTCCTCTGGCATCTAGAAGACAGACGGCCAAGCCGAGCCGGCTCCAGCCCGCCTCCCTTCCTGGCCGCGCCAGGGAGACCCTCTGGGCCAAGTCACCTCCAAGTCCTGCGGTGCTGGCAGCAGCCTGCTCCGTACCCCTGCTGCCGTCTCCCACGGGGGACAGTGCGCTGCGGCCAGGGAGCAACCACAGCGCTCGCACGGGCCCTGGATGAGCGAGGCTGCCAGCCGGCAAGGCTCCTGCAACACCGGGAACCAGTTCTCAGATCCCAAAGTCGGAGGGCCATTCGCCCCCCGGAGACCTAACAATCAAACTGAGGACGACCTGCTGTCCGGCTTCCACGGCCCGGCCAGTGGTGCCAGCGAGGGCGGGCGGTGAGGCCGGACGGCAGGGGAAGCCGAGTTCTGGGCGCCCCACCCGGCTCCTCCTGCAAAGTCTTTGCGCTGATACGCTGCAGGCTGGCGCCCCATCACACAGGCCAGACTGCGGAACAGAAAATGTTAATTAATACTAAGATGGAGTCTAGACACTTTTTGCCTGCGACTTTTTCTCAAAGTGACTATTTTTGGCTTTGTGGACCTAGCGGTCTCTGTGGCAACCAGTCAGCTCAGCGTTGGCAGCATGACCCTGTGGCCAGGCCCTGACCTGAGGGTGTGGCCGTGTTCCAGGAAAGCAGTATTTACAAACTGGGGGCCCAGGTCCCACGGGCCATACGTGGCCAAGCCCCGGTCTGTTCGGGGCACCCAAGCCTTGTGCAGAGAGAGCCACCCCCAGATGACAAGGAACTGGAGCCCTGAGCCGCCCGGAAGCCAAGGCAGCACCCCCACACGCGGGGCCTGAACACCGGCCCCCGGGGCAGGCCAGAGCCCACCCTGCTGCAGATCCCTTGCTGTCCACGACGCGGTCAACATGGTTCCAGGCTGGCGGCTCGCACGGTTTTTTCACACATTTCCCGCTTTACCAGCAGAACGCTGCCCTGCCCTGCCGCCGGTGCCTGCAGCACGCCTCTCTGAGCCCTGCCTCCTCCCCGCGCAGGGGGCTAAGACCAAGTGTGCCAAGCCCGCCTCGTGTCACGTGCAGCACCTTCGTAGCTGACCCAGACTGGAACTCAGGCCCCTGCATCTACCACGGCCTCTGCCCCGAGTCAGCACCACAGCCAGAGAGGGCTCCCTCCGTCTTTTATAAAAAACATTTTCTGAAGAGTTAAGAGTATATTATAGGCTTTTTATTTTTATTAAAGTTTTGCGTGCATATGTCTGTGTATTAGACAATCTGTTATTTTCCGAGAGGAGGAACTGTCATTTCCAGAAGTCTCTACTGTACTCCAGAACGCGCCGGTGCCCCAGGCCCACCGGGAGAAGACAGCCGGGCTGCATCAGGGGCTCCCACCCTGGGTGAGCCCAGAGAAAGCCAGGCCCGGGCACACGTCCTGCTGACGCCTGCTGTGTCACCGGGACCCGTCACCGTGCACCTGTATAAGCTACAGCATCACTAGCAAGTGGCAAGGTCAAGTGATATCACTGGAAAAGTAGATAAACTCTCTACTACGATGTTAATAACCTCGCGCCCCTCAGTCATGAGGTGGACACTAGTGTGTTCCAGTTTTTAACTCAGAAACATTTGTTTCTACAAAAAACAGTCTACTGAATCCTGAGCTTGGTGCTGTGTTGTCTTACAGTTAACCCACCTTGCCGTCTCACAAATTTGGTATCTAGTAAAAGACTTCCTGACGCTAAAGGAATTACAATTCACCCTGGAAAACATTTGTAAGGAGACACTGCTTTCTTCACACGGTTCCTTCGTAAAACTCTGGCACCTTCCTCAAACATACACTCAAACTCCACCCGAGGAAATTAATAATAATGCAATCAGAAAATTCTCAGGCGCACAGAAATTTATTTCTGTATCAAAATGAAAGGAGCACTCTTGATGCTGAGTTAGCCGTTCTGATCACGCACGTTTATAATTCTACTTAGTCCCCGATTGGGCACAAGCACCCATCCTAGGTTCCAGGGAAAGTGCCGGTCACTTGGGACGCCACAAAATGGAAGAAAAGTTAAAACACTGGCAGAGCAAAATGCCTTCATTTTCATGTCACCTTGCCCGTGGCCAAGAAAACCAGCAAAGACACAGCCTTCCTTCCCACAGCGTGTGGGCTGCCACGGAAGCGGATGAGGAGACCTGCGCCTATCCCACCGCTGTCCCGCCAGCAAACCCAGCCGGCAGGGCCAGCCGCCTCCGGCACCTCCGTTGGCCAGGACTCCTCCTGCCTCGACATCTCACTCCATTGTGCAGGGATTTACTGAGCTACTTTTCTTTTGCAGAAAATGTCTTTCTCTTTGCCGTCGTGCTCGAACAAGAGCCCCGAGAAAACAGAGCATCTGCCCCTCAGTGCTGAGGCCCCAAACCTACCAGCAGGCGTTCTAGTGCACGTGGGAAACACACTTTAAAACTCAGCTATGTACTTTCTTTTCAATTAAAGAAACAAAATAAACTCAAGGCTGCTTCAAATCTGACGTTCTCCTGAATCCATACAATTGCATTCCACCGGACCAGGCCTCGGGCCGCTTCCGGCTGGCATCTCAGGCTGGACCGTTGTTTCAAGGCCGTCCAGTGCACCGCACGATGTTTCGCGGCAGCCCAGCCTCCAGCCTCCGGGTCCCAACAGCACCCCCCTTAAGTCCCAACAACCAAAAACGTCCTCCGATGTTGCTGGATGTTCCCTGGGTCACGATCGCTCCAGGTGGGAACTGCCACCTGACAGGATTCTTACACGGTCTCTGTGGGAAAAGTAAGGCCAAGGACCAGGAATTTTACAATGTTGTTAAAATGCTGCCAAGACCTGGATTTTGGACAATCACCAAAAATGTTTCCTGCACGGTCAACCACGTGCCAGCCACCCCCCACGCCGGGGACCTTCTGGGTGCGCCAGTCCTCCTCACAGAGCCCACGCCGTCGGGGCTGGGCCTCTACCTCAGAGACGACTAATGTCAAATTCACCCCCTCACCCCTCAGGCCCACCGGCTTCCCCGAGGGGACGCCCACCACCACCACGTTGCATGGGAGCTCCCTGCACGAAACCAGGCCCGTCCCGCTCAAAGACTCTCGTCTCCTCTGGTGTCAGAAGCCGCATCTGTGTGATGGGCGGTGGGGAGGGGACTGGACGGCACACTCCAGGGCCCGCATGCAGCCCACTGGCCACGAGCTGGTGTGAAGGCCAACTTCCCTGCAAGGTCAGAGCCGGGACCTATTCTTCAAGGAGAGAGAGAAGTACTCCAACACTTGGCTGCCGTTAGGAAGCCGTGCAAAACGAGACCGTACGTCACTAACCACGTTCCTTTACGATGCTGCACACTGGACGCGCCTATGAAGCAGCATTTGAGAATTAAAGACACGAGTGTTTTTGTGGAAAACCTGCTACTTGTTTTCATAGGATGACGTGCTATGATGTACCAAAACCTCACTGCCTGCTCCTATTTCACCTTTGTCCCTAAGAGAAAACGTACGACGACTCCTGAACCAGAGGGAGGAACCCCATTCCCCACAAACCAAAACCACATGTTGAGGTATCGAGTCCCCGGGCTCGCCCGCTCAGAGTCCGCCTCCCATGCAGGAGGGAAGAGGGCCCTCCCCACAGAGACCTGACGACACATCAACCTAATGCAGCTCCTATCCAGTCCCAGGAGATCTGTAACAATGTTTTCATCAGAACGGCAGTTTTAGAAGGAAAAATAACCTGAGATGACCCAAGTGAAGCTCTCAGAAGCTTTAAGAAAATTGTAATGTTCTTTGTTATCTGTGGGCTCTTCATTCCAGTCCTACTGCCACTCCTCCTCGTCCTCATCCTCCTCTTCTTCCTCCTCCTCGTCCTCCTCGTCTAGACTTAAGCTCTGCTTGTCAGGCATCTGCCTCTCAGACTCCTCTTCCTCCTCCCGAGCAAAGAGCTTCTTAAAAACTTCAAACTCCTCAGCAGAAGAATGGGCCGTCCTGGCCAGAAACTCAGCTTCTGAGACTCTGAGAATGTCCTTGAGTAAAGGATTGGGGATCTGTGTCTGGCCCTTCTTATCAGGGGTCTGGTACCGCCCTAGGCGCTCGAGGAACACATGTCTCTGCTTGATCTTGGTTATGGAGTGCTGCAGGAAGCCGGTCCGCACCACGTCCGCATGTTTAACCCCCATCCTAAAGTAGGCATACTGAAGACATAGGCACAGTTACCTACGGTCTGTCCTGCCACCGTCCACAATCAACTCAAGCACTCACAAAGAGCTGCCCAACTAGCAGTGCCAGGACACTCTACGATGCCCAGCACTGGTGTTGACGGCTGCGTTTTCGAAGCATTTTCAAATTCATATTGAAAAAAATTTAGTAGGAAATGAAGTGTTAAGTGGGATGAATTCAGTTCTTTTTTTTTCCTCAGGAAATAAAAACTGTGAGCATAGAAAGAATGGGCAAAAATATCCAGAAACATCTAGCAATCTGACCCAACCTGTCCAAATTGTTAACCAAAAGACAAGACAACTGTCACAATTATGCTACTAAAATCAATACGCAAAATAGGTTCAAAAGAAAGGCTCTTTAGCTCTTTTAAAACTAGCTATTTCAAGGAGAGGCCCCATTTGGACCCCAGGAGAGGGACCAGGTCGTTCACCATCAATGGCAGAAACGCTGTAGGAGAGGTTTTCCGTAAGGAAGTGAAAGACCAGAGCTGGATTCCCTCTAGAGGGTGTGTGCAGTAGAGGGCTCTAACCCTTCCACCTCGTCCGCCGCCCTCGGGGTGCCTGAGGCTTCTCATCCATGGAGCTCACCCTCGCTACATTCAAACAACGTGTATTTTACTTCCCCAGCCCCTACCAGTCACCAGTCATCCTCACCTGGAATTTGTATTCGAGGTCACCAGGGTCCTCCCGAAGAACATAGGGGCATCTGTGCAAAATCCTGGTCACCTGTTGTCCCGTGAAAAGGCATTTGTCCTTGAGAACCCCCACGATGCTGTCAATGTCCCTCTGGTGCATGGTGAAGACTTCAGGGCAACAGAGAAGCAGCGTCTTCAGTTTCCCTGCAAGACACAGGAAAGGGCAAGTACATGATTTCAGGGCACTCTGGAAAACCAAGGGGCTTGCCACGCCCACGCCAGCATTTAAAACTGAACAAGGAGGCTCTCCTCCACGAGCGACAGCTTCCGATGCTCCCAGCAGCTTCAGCAGTCACCGAAGCACCCACTACCGACATTCCTCAGATCTCTTATCCACACTCGCGCAGCACCGGGCAAAAGAGGCCCTTCGAACAAACGCATGAGGGCAACTGGTAACTGAGGCTGCTGCCCAGGCAAACTGGGCCCGTGGTCTTCCCAGGGGTGTGGGCAAAATCCAGTACCCGGAAACCTCAAATCACTCATTTAAAACAGGATTCACAATCTTCCTAACAGCTCAGCTACTCACTGTCTCGCTGAAACGTGTCTAGGATGACTTCTGGGGGTTTAGAGTTTCCCTCTGAAGCAGAAGGCCTCGCTGAGCTCTCTAATTCATAATCACAGTATATAAGGTATTAGGCTCAGCCTTTTAGATTACGCCGCAACAGGTGATCTGCCAAGGGGGACGCAGGAGGCGCTCTCTTCCTTATCTTCTGGTGAAGGGGCCAATGGAGATCCTCTGAGACTGGTTCCCAAACAACAGTATCTTCCCCCAACGATATCTTACCAGTAGGAGTCAATAAAAAGAAGAAGAAAAAGAACCCCACTGGGGCGCCTGGGTGACTGTCGGTTAAGTGTCTGCCTTCGGCTCAGGCTGTCATCCTGGGGTCCTGGGACGGAAACCCCGCACCGCTCCCTGCTCAGAGGGGAGCCTGCTTCTCCCTCTGCCTGCCCCCTCCCCTACCACTTGTTTTCTCTCGCTCTCAAATAAATAAAATCTTTAAAAAAAAAAATGAAAAAAACAAACAAACAAACAAAAAAACCCCAGTGACCCTCCCGTGTTACAGTGTGTAAGGATCCCCGAGACCCTGATGGGCTCCTGCCCCGCTCCCCTGAAGGCCCGCAGACTCCCCGAGGTGTGAATCGTGTTGGGGGCAGGCCAGGCCCTCCGATTCCTGGACTCCGGCCATCTGGGGTTCCACAGAGCAGGAGACGGTCACCGGAGCCCGCACCTGGAGCCACATCTGGACTCTGCTTTGCGTCCTACAGCCTTGAGCTACCGCAGCGTCCAAGACCCCGTGGGCGCTGTGCTCCCGCCGCACTGAGCGCACCTGCAGGCGCCGGCCCCCCCGCGCCCCCAGGGGCCGCCCCCCCCGCCCCCCCGCCCCCACCCCCGGCCTCCCGCACCTTCTCCGAGGCCAAGCCTCCGCAGGTAGCTGGAGCGCCTCTTCACGTGCGCCGCGGGCAGGTCCAACAAGGGCGGGCTGCTCCGCGCCGCCGCACACACGGGCCCCGGGTTCACACCCAGGAGCATCAACTCTGAAACCACGTCCAGCAACTGCCGAGGCTGCGCCCCGCGCCACACGCCGAGCAGTCCCCGGATGTGCGCGTCGCTGAAGCCCATGGCCTGGAGGGCGCCCGCGACCCCCCCCGGCGCGCCCGGGCCCGGAGCCACGGGGCCGCTCCGCTTCTCCAGGGCGCCCGGCGGGGCGCGCACCCCGCACCCGGGCTCCTGCGCGTCCTCCAGGGTCTGCGCACGGGGCGACGCCGCGCGGCCCCCTCCGCTGGAGGCTGCGGTCCTTCTCTGCTCTCCGCGGGGCCGCGCAGCCAGGCGGGCCCAGGTGGGGGCCCAGGTGCGGGCCCAGGTGCGGGCCCAGGTGGGGGCCCAGGTGCGGGCCCAGGTGCGGGCCCAGGTGCGCTGCCCGTGGAGGACCTGGGACAGACGAGACAGGGGTCAGCTCCCGCCCCCCGCTGTAGAGGGCACTGACTGGGCGGCCGGGCGCAGGCTCCCCGGGGCGGGCAGGGAGTGGGGGGTCAGGGCGGGAGGGCGGGAGGCCGCGGGGCGGGGGGGGGGGGGTCAGGGGTCAGGAGGGCGGGGCAGCCCCGCAGGTCCAGCCCGCCCAGTGCGCCTGCGCGCGGCCCGGTCCTCCGCCGTCTCCCGCGGGGCGGGGGCAGGAGACGCGCTGACAGCGGCGCAGGGAGGGAAAGCCGCGGCGTGTCGGCGTCCGTGTGGCCGCGCCTCAAGGGTCGGGGTCTACGCGGCGGGGAGCGGGGAGCGGGGAGCGCTCGCCGGGAGGTGGGCTCGCGTCCGCAGCCGCCCGGCCTGTCCGTCCCTCCGGGGCCCCATGCCACATCCTGGCGCCGCGGCCCGCGGAGCGGCTTCACCGACCGGCGTCCCCGAGCCGCGGCCCCCCGCCGCCCCGCACCTCCCGACCCCGCCCGCGGGACTGCCCGCGCCCCGTCACCTGCCGGCCGAGCGCCGCCATGGCGGGGGCCTGACGAGCGCTTCCGCCCGGCCGGCCCGCACTTCCGCCCTCCGGTGGTCCGCACTTCCGCCCTCCCCCTGGAAGCGCGAGTGCGCGGGAGATGCGTTCCGCCGCGGGCGTCCCCGGGTGCGGTAGGCGCGGCCGGCCCCGCCCCGCCCCCCGCCCCGCCCCCTCGGCCCGCGGGCGCCCGCCGCGCGCCCGGGTGAACAGCAGGGGGTGGGCGCCGACAGCAGGAGCCGTGGGCCCGCGAGCAAGCGGCGGGGAGGGCGGGGCGGGGCGGGGAGAGGGGGCCCCGGCGGCGCCGGCTCCAAGCGGAGAAGGAGGCCTCGAGCAGGGCGGAGGGGCCCCGGGGCGGGGCCTGGGCGGGGAGGGGGCGGGGCCTGGGCGGGGGGGGGAGGGGGCGGGGCCTGGGCGGGGGCGGGGAGGGGGGGAGAGGGGGCGGGGAGGGGGCCGAGGGCCCCGGCGGCGCGGCGCGGGAGCTCAGTCCGAGTCCGAGTCCGAGTCCGAGTCGGGCGCTGGTTCGCTGCAAAACTGCTTTAATCTGGGAAATATCCAGACGTGAGGCAAGGACGCAGCCGGGGGGCGCGGGTAACCAGGTCTCGGCCCGCGCCCCGACGAGCACGCGTCAAGGCAGAGGCGGAGGGAACCGACAAAGAGTGTCCGGAAAAGTCAGGAGACGACGACGACGACGACGACGACGACGACAGGCGCGTGCTAGACCGGAAGGATGAACGACCCCGACGCCCTAGCGGTTCGGGTTCGGGTTCGGGTTCCGGCTCGGGTTCGGGTAAGCGCCGGAGCACCCGGCCGCTGGGCAGGCGCGCCCGGCCCCCGTAGGGCCTCCCGGCGCTCCGCTCGTCAGGCTGGGCGCTGCCCCGCGCTGCTGCCCCGGCCGGCGCGGTGGCCCGGGCCGCGGGACTCCCTTCCTCCGACCGCTGCGGCCTGGAAACCCAGGCCCCGGGCGCCGCCGAGGAGCAGGGCAGCGGCGCTGGGGCGTCAGGGGCCTCCCGGGGGACACAGGGGCCCGCCCGGCCCCGCAGCCCAGGCCAGCTCCCCGGCGCACCTGCCCTCCAGCTCCAGACTCCCGGCGGACAGGGCTCCGCTTTCTGGAGGAAGAAGACGACCCTGTGTCACGCGTCCTCACGACATGCCTCGACCCCGGCCCCTCCCTGGCGGGATTCCCGGGAGCAAGACCCACCAGCGGGAGCCCTCAGAACCCCCCGCGCTGCTCGCGTCCCCGGGCCCACTGAGGCACCGACGCGGCCCACGGTGCCGAGCAGACACGCGGGGCTGCGGCCAGGGGCCTCGCGGAAGCACCAGGGCCCTGGGCCCCCTCCACCCCGCTCGCCGTCTGCAGCCCCACCCTCCCCTTCAGCTGCTCAGACCCTCCGCCCCTCACCCCCTCTGCGGGGCCTCCTTGTCGGGGGCTCCCCTGGGTGCCCACCCACCTTCTAAGGCCCCGGCCCCAGTGGGGTCCAGGGGCCTCTGAACGCTGGTTCTGATCGGCTGGAGGTCCCGACATTTGTGCCCAGAACAGCATGGAGGAGGGGGCTTGGTCCTCCCCAGACCCAGGAGGGCCGCTTTCCGGGCACACGGGCCGTGCCTCACCTGGCTTGTTCACTCGACACACCTCATCCCAGGTGTAGTCAGCAAGGTTCACGGGCTGGATCACCCAGGGGTCTGTCACCAGCTTCTCCAAGGTGGTGCGCTGCTCAGGGACAGGCTGCAGCAGCCCAGATATGAGGTGCATGAGAGCTGGAGACACAAAGACCCCCCTGGGCGTGTGGCCAGAAGACTGACAGTGGGTCCAGGCTGGGCTCAAGCGGACCAGGTCTCGAAACCTCGGGTCCCGGCTCTGCGTACCGTGAGCACCGGACTGGGTGGCCAGTGGCCTGGAACCTCCACACTGATGAGACTAGGGGCTCAGACACATGGGCCCCCGGCCGTGCCCCGAGATGCTCGTCCCCTCTGAAAGCGTGGGGTTCAGGACCCCACCCCGCTCGGCCTGTTCCCAGGGCTCTGGACACGCAGAGCCTCAAATGACCCTGGGTTTGCACAACATGAAGGGCAGGAGGCGGCTGCAGGCAAGGCCTTCACCGTCCCCCCAGAAGGAAGCACAGCCCCAGCCCCGGGTCTAGGTTTGGGTCCCACTTCCTGTGACGGTGTGGGCATCTCCAGCCAGGGCTGCTCTGAGCCTCAGCATCCCTGAGGGGAGCCCTGGGAACCACGAGGGAACACGTGGGGCAGCTCTGTGGGGGGCACAGCATGCTGCAGAGGGCGTGCTCCCCGGGAGCCCAGGACCTTGGCAAAGCCCGAAGGATCCTCTTCTAGGCTGCCAGGGACTGAACTGCCTCCATAGGGTGGAGCCGTAACCCCCGGTGGCCCCTGGGAGGTGAGCAGGGTCACAAGAGGTCATGAAGGTAGGGCCCCATGATGGAATTAGCGCCCTTGTAAGAAGAGAGACGGGGGCACCTGGGGGGCTCAGACGGCTAACTGTCTGCCTCCGGCTCAGGTCGCGGTCCCAGGGCCCTGGGATCGAGTCCCGCGTCGGGCTCCCTGCCCAGCGAGGAGTCTGCTTCTCCCTCTCCCTCTGCCCTACTCCCCACCCATCTGCACTCACACACTTTCTAATAAATACAATCTTAAAAAAAATTATCACGAGGGTTTAGTCAAATTCAAGTTACCCTCCTGTAGGGATCAGGGTCAGACAACGGAAAGAAAGCCGTGAGGCTGTCAGTACGACCCAAGAATCGCTGCGTGCGCGGCGGGGGACCAGGCCGCCCTCTGCTCGCACCTGCAGCCCGGGCTCACCTTCTGACACCAGGTATGGGGGGTGGATCATGGCCTCCATGGTCTCCTCCAGCTCGCAGAAGGGGTTCTCCTCAAAGATCAGCGTGTACAGCGTGACCCCCAGCGACCACATCTCCAGCTCCGGCCCCTTGTACCTGCAAGGGGGGAGGTGGCGTTGGGGGCACGCCGGGGCTGGGCCGGAGCGCCAGGCGCTCCCCACGTGCACCCCCGAGAGCGGCCCCCCGGGGCGTCCCGCAGCCCTCTGCGACTACGCCCCCATCGCGACACATCTGCCCCAGCCAGCCGTGCTCCAGCCACGTGCTGGGGAGGGAAAAGAAAAGCCAAACTTCGTGCTCGGGCAGCCGAAGGAGGCCCCCGGCCAAGCGAGAGTGCGCGAGGGTGCGCGGCAGGTGAGAGCTGAGCACCTCCTGGCGGGCGCTTCCTGCAGGTGGAGAGAAGGTGCCGCGGACAGAGCGGAGGCTCCAGCCCACGGAGCGCAAGCGGGCCAAGGCATCGGCAGCCACCTAGAGGGGGGGGGCGGGCCCCGGGGAGCCGCCGGCCACTGAGGCGGGGTCCAGGGAGCCCAGACGGGCGGCAGCAGCTCAAGGCGCTGGCAGACACGGGGCTCCGCGAGAGCGCGCAGGACGCCGGGAGGCCGCGGCCACGCTCAGGGGCCTCGGGGCACTGGGCGGGATGAGACCGCATGAGCCGGGCCGGGGAAAACCCCGCTCAACGCTGTCTTGTGCTGATTTAGAAAGAGACGTCAGGAACACCGGAGAATAGAGAGGAGGGCCCGACGGGAGCATCTGAGGCTGGTGGCCGCGCTGCAGCAGCCGGACGCCACCAACACGGCTGTGCTCCAGTAAAACTATAAAATCCAGCGGCGGGCCGGGCTGCTCAGGGCCGGAGCGTGCGGTCGCCTGGACTGGAGGACTCACAAACCGTGGGGAGGAAGCAGAGCTCCTGAGGAGGGAATCCAGAATCACACCCGAAAACCACTGGCGCAGGGAGAAGGACGTGGCCAGAGGACCAAGGGGCCCCAGGAGGCGCCTGCAGGCCACGGAGGAAGGAGGCCACCACCGCCCTGCGCTCCCCTGCTCCCCTGCGTGAGGCTCCCAGCCTGCGTGCAGGCCGTGGGGTGAGGAAGACAAGCCAGAGAACACGTGTCATGGTCCTGGACAGGACAGGCACCCCTCCACCTCCGGTGGCCAAGAGCATGCGGGGGGCAGTGGGGTGATGTGATCTCCAAGGCCCTTCCTGGACTGTCCCCCCTTTCAGCTGCTCCTCCTTTGGGGGCCCCAGGGTGCACTGAGTGATGGGAGAGGAGCCTCCTGAGCACGACCCAGGCCCCCCAAGGCCCGCAGGCTCCGGGGCAGGGACACACCGTCCTCCGCACCAGTGCCCCCGACGCTGATGTCACAGCGGTCTGGTGCTGGCCACCACCCTGTCCTCAGCACGAGGACGCCCTCTCCACCTGCTGGAAGCCCGCACGTCTGGGACCCCTATCTTGGTCTTTCGCCTCATTCTCCACTTTCAGTCACATAACAGCCCAGACCCGCACCGAGCGCATGGCCACCGCCCACCCGCCCACCGAGGACCACGACGTAGGTGAGCCCTCAACAGCCTAGTCACCAAGAGGCACCGAAGCCGCTTTCCCACCCAACCTCCAAGGGCCCGGGCTCGCAACGGACGACGTGCGGTACGTACGGGTTTCCCATGAGGACCTCGGGTGCGCAGTACTCGATGGTCCCACAGAACGTGTGAAACAGCCTGCCCTTCTCCAAGTAGGCGGCGGAGCCGAAGTCGATGAGCTTGATGGTGAAGTCCTCGGCGATGACGATGTTCTCGTCCTTGATGTCGCGGTGAATGATGCTCTTGGAGCGCAGGTAGCCCACCGCCGCCACCAGCTGCAAGCAGGGCCCACAGGCACTTTTTAAGAAAGCAATTCAAGTAAGACCCGCATTTAAAACGAGGACTAGCTAGAAAACGAGACAACAACAAAGGAGAACCCCCTTGTCTAACCCTCCTGACCCGGGGCCGGAAAGGCCGTGGGGGCGGGGAGCTGGCGAGGCCGGTGGCAGCACCGCAGGGATTCTCCTTTCAAACGTCGCTATTGTCACTGCACAAGGATGCACAAGGATGCCCAGTGCACCGTTAGCTGGGACCAGACTTTGTCTCGTGGGGCTGACTGCCGCGGCCGCTCGCGGACACCCCCGTCCCCCAAGCACGAACACTGCCTGTGCGTCACTCACCCCCCAACGCACGGCGTGACGCTCTCGGGAGGAAGGGCAGCCCGGCCACGAGCAGAGGCTCCAGAGACAGGGGCTGGGCGCGTTCGTGAGTGTGGCCTGGGCGTGAAATGGGGGGCGGCCCCAGAGAAGGCCCGAGCGGGACACTCTGGGCTCACAGGGGAGGAAAGCGCCTCGGCCAGAGTTCACGCCGCGGTTAGGGGCAGAGCTGAGGGCAGAAGCCGGGTCCCCAAACCCCGCCTCGGGGCTCCGGCGGCTTCTCGGGGGGCAGCCCCGGGCAACGGCCCCCACTGTGCAGGGCAGGGGCTACTACGGTGCACCGCGGTCCGCCCAGAGCCGCACAGGCCCACGCCACACGTCGGGTGGCCGAGACGAACAAAGGGGGGCCTCCGGTCAAGCTTAAGTAAGATCGGCAGAGTTTCTGGCTGCATCCCGCGTCGCCAGTCATACCTACCAGTCGACGGCGCCTTCGTGGACACAGTCACCGGACTGGACGGTTCGATGCCCACAAACGAACACCCTGCATCAGGCTTTCGTTAATGGCCGGCAACTGTGCCCAGTTCATCGACTTACGACAAGTAAACAAACGCGTATTTACGCGCGCACACCTGCAAACACATGCGTATCTCGCGCTCACACACACAGCCAGGCAGGCGCAGGTGCACACGGGCGCACACACGTGTAGACGCCCACCGTACACGCGCACATTTGTGCCAGGGCCCAGCTGGGAACAGAAGCCGTGGGTTAATCTGAACTCGGAACGTTTCATTGAGGTTCATTAGTTAGGAGCAAGGGGTTACCTACAAGGTATGAAGGGACCGTGAGCCCACCGGGAGAAGCCGGTGTCCGCTGGTCCCTCCCTGCCCTCGCCGCCTGAGCGGGCCCTGGCGACCGGGCGCCGGGAGGCAGGTCGCTGATGAGCGCACTGTACGTACGCACTGACCCATTCCTACACGCGATGGCACGTCCGTCTGTAAATTCACAGAAGGGACTATAGATACGAAACTACGCAGCACGGGACACGCTGGTTACCAGATCGACGGCCCCAGAATGAACAACTGAAAGGCAGCAGCTTTTAGCAAGTGACGCTCGTCGTCGTGCCGTACGGTCTGCTTGCCATGGAGATTCCAGAAACAAACGTCTGCCGCGCGTTACAGCAGACGGGATGGGACCTCGCACCACAGCGAGAGGGCAGAGGGGACGGCCTTTGAGCAGAACCGCGACACCTGACGCCTACAGGCCGGCTCCTGAGCCGCTGAATTTCAGGAACCCAACAGCTCCTGGAGTTTACAGCTCTGAGTACGAAACGTCCACGTATGGGGGCTGGCATTAGGAATGGCGTCCTCGCCAGGAAGCAGTCGGAGAGCAAATCTGGGAATAGCTCAGACCCCCTTTCCAGGGAGTTCTCCACGGTTTCCAGGGAGCGAGGAATAGCGTACGATGAAACCAGCACCTTCTCCTTCAAAAAACAGGAGTGACGGGATCCCTGGGTGGCGCAGCGGTTTGGCGCCTGCCTTTGGCCCAGGGCGCGATCCTGGAGACCCGGGATCGAATCCCACATCGGGCTCCCGGTGCATGGAGCCTGCTTCTCCCTCTGCCTGTGTCTCTGCCTCTCTCTCTCTCTCTCTCTCTCTCTGTGACTATCATGAATAAATAAATAAAAAATAAAATCTTTAAAAAAAAAACAAAACAAAACAGGAGTGACTGTGTCCCCTCCACCCCTCCAGCCTCTGTCTCCCAGGGCGCCTTTCTGTTTGCTGATCACGCTCCCATTCCAACGAAATGACAGGTGGACAAGATCAACACACACACAGACACACAAGAGACCAAAACAAACTCTGTGCATCCTGATATGTTAGTTAGCCGGACAGCACTCACCGTGGGCCGGTCACTGGGCCACACATGCTGCTGCGAGGCCCTCCCGGACTTCACCCCAGCCCCTGCCCTCGTCACCCCACCATGATCCCTGCTCACAGACTAGCAGCGCCTTCCCGCTGAGAGACGGCAGCGCAGCCTCAAAGCCGCCCCGATGCCCGTGGTGGCTGAGGTTCGCACCTGGCGTGGACGTTGTATGAATATGAACACGCTTTCATCATTAACCAGACTTCCCCGGTCAGGCCAGGACGGCGTCTGGCCTCCCATGCGTATCTTAACATACAGCTTACTCCGTAAAATCCCAAGTCTGGAAGGCGAGACCGTAGCTCGCAGGCAGAGCTTTGCAGCCTCGGGACCCCATGCCCGAGCCCCCGGTCTCCCCGGCGCGGCTCTCTGGGCTGCTCACCTGCCGGAAGATGTAACTCGCCAGAGGTTCGTCCAGACTGGGGTGACGGTCAATGAACGCGAAGAGGTCCAGCCCGGAGCCGTGCTTCTCCATCACCAGCTGAAAGAACCCTTGGTTCTCAAATACGTCCAACACCTGGAAAAGGACAGAGTGGGGTCTGGGCCTGCGGAGGTGCCTTCAGGACCACGTGCTCAACAACGTCCCGTGCGCGGTCGGGGCACCCGTCAACGAGGAACGGCACTCCACCTTGATGATGTTGGCGTGCTCCACCCTGGACAGAATGGCAATCTCTAAGGTGACTTTTCCAAGTTTGGGATCCTCGATCCAACAATCCTCCAGAACCTTCTCCTTCTTGATGAACTTCACCACCACCTACGAGGAAGGCAGAGGAGACGAGTCGCTGCCAGCGAGCCTCCAGCGTCCCTTGGAAGGTGGTGCCCACTGCTGCCTCGCGCCGCAGACACAGCCTCCCTGCGGACCACCCCTGAGCCCGCGGCGGGGGAGAGGACCCAGGGGGCCCCGTCCACACGCGCACCAGGGACGGAGAGGCCAGCAAGCGGGCGGCAGGGCGTGGCGGAGAAGACTGGAGCTGAGGGGCCGCAAAACCCCATCACCCCCTTTCACCGCAAGGGCTGATGCCCCGCAGAGGAAATCTAAGAGGAGGCCCGAGGACTGGAAGACACACAAGGCCGTGCCCCACGGCAGCTGGGAGCCAGGCGGAGCGCAGCCAGCCCCACGGACACAGAGGCCCCGTCACCCCGCGGGACGACTGGGAGTGTCACAAGGGATACGCCGTACTCAGGGAGGTGCGCGCTTGCTACGTTGGGGGCACACGTGGCCGAGGGGCACACGCTGAGCCGGGACGCAGGCCAGGCCCACCCCATGCTTCAGCAGGAGACCCGACCGGGCGACCCGCGAGCCCCGCCTGGTGAGCATGTCATCTGCAGGGGGACGGCGCACAGCCTGCCCCGTGGGTCAGGAGGGCAGGGCGGAGGGGTGGGGGGCTCCCCGTGAAGGGAGGGCAGGGAGGAGCCCGACAGAGGGTGGAGGGGCACAGGCTTCGTGCCAGCCATCAGTGGTGACATCGTGCGACAGAGGGCCCCGTGCTTCCACAGGCCGGAGACATGTGAGAGGAGGCAAGAGGCCGAGGGCACCAAGGCCGAGGTCCTGGCGCCCGTCCCCGCGGCCAGGTGGGGGACACGGAGGCTGCCCCGAGGCGGGGGGCCTGCCCCCTGTCCCACTGGGGGAGGAGACAGAGCTGCTGCCGTGAGCTCCAGCACGCCGACCGCGGGCCTCGGGGAAGGTAAGAGCGAGAAGGAAGGAAACGGGTTAACAAACAATAAACTCTCTTCGGGTAAAGAAAAAGTCAACATTGAGGTCAGAGTCCTAGGAAGCGTCAAGTGAGGATGCAGAACACACGGGGACACGTCCTGGGGACGCTCCTGAAGTCCAAAGATGACAAGGGAAAAACCCAGAAAGAGGAAGACATCAGGCTGCTCTTCAAATCTTTTTTTTTTATTTTTATTTATGATAGTCACAGAGAGAGAGAGAGAGAGAGAGAGGCAGAGACACAGGCAGAGGGAGAAGCAGGCTCCATGCACCAGGAGCCCGACGTGGGATTCGATCCCGGGTCTCCAGGATCATGCCCCGGGCCAAAGGCAGGCGCCAAACCACTGCGCCACCCAGGGATCCCCAGGTTGCTCTTCAAAAGCACGTAGAGGACAGCAGAGCCGGGGCCCAGGCGCTCGGGAGAAGCGGCATGGACAGCCATGGCCTGCAGGCACGGCCACCCGTCGGAACACGTGGGAGGACCGGTGCGTGACACCTGCACCTCCTTCCTGGGGTCGGTAACCAGAGCGCAGCCCACGAAAACCGGACACGGAAGCCATGCCGATCCCTGAGACGGCGAACGAGACTCGCTCCCGAGAGCCACACAACACGCCAAGGGAGACGTGAAGGCGTAGCGCCGGGAAGGACGCCCAGGTCGTGCGTCACCAGAACTGCTCTGTGACGGTGGCCGTGCCGACTGCCCCCGCGGCCGCCCCCTCCCGGGCCCGGGTCCTGCGGGCCGCTCCGGGGTTGCTGGCCGGGCCGTGCTGAAGGCGCATCGCCGCGCTCAGAGGCGCAAGGAGGCTGTGCTGCTTTTCAAACCCGGAGGAGCGCTCCAGGCCTCCTTGCTCCTCCCTTTGCGTCTAGCGGGTTCCGGATCCACCTCACAGAGGCAGAGGCAGAGGCAGCAGCGGAGCCCCGAGAACTAAACCCCTGTGAACCCAGCAAGAGCAGCAGAGCCACGGCCTCCGGGAGGCGGCCACAGCGGCGCAGAAGCCGCGCCCTCGAGGTGCCGGTACCTGGTAACCGCCCAATGCAATCGCAGCAAGATGAACCCGCACAAGATGCAAGGAAACAAAACAAACGTGATTAATAAAACATGATTCTTCGACAAGTCGAGCGACGACAACACAGGGTAACAGCAGAGTCGGGGCGGCCAGGGAACAGGGACAACTGCGGACATATCGTCACACACGCTGATGTGCAGAAACGCTGCTAACTCTGCAGGCCCCGTGAACCCCGTGAAACGCCGGCCAAAACACCCCCAAAAACCAGAAAACCAAAAAACAGATGTTACAAAATGTAAGTGGAAAAAAAGAGATCCCAAGTAAAAATACCAGCAAACCAAACTCAGCCGTGCATCGGAGGAACACCATGACGCGACCCAGGACTGGTTCCGTGGGCAGACGTCGTGCTGTTCCCTCCGTCGGCAAAGGGAACGAGGGCACGATCGTCTCAACAGGCACCGCACAGGCGTCTGGCGGAGTCAACGCTGTGCTTCCACGGACACCGCCGGGAGCCGAGGACACAGCGGCGCCGCTGCGGGTCTCCATCCGGAGCAGAGCGCAGGAGCTGGGGCAGGAGCTGGGGGGGCCGGAGCGTGCCAGCTCCTCCGCGCAGGGGCCCAGCCGGGTCGCTGCAGGACAGCGGCCACCAAGCCCCCGGGAACCCTGCGGGCCGGGACCTGCGGGCCGGGACGGCGGTGGCCCCAATGCGACACAGAAACGGGGCGCAGCTGCGAGAGCCGCGGGTAGCGCGGGGAAGCTGGAGGCGTCGAAGTCCTGCACAGGGCCACGCGGGACCATGGACCATGGACCATCACCATGTCAATTCCTCGGTCACAAAACGCTCGGTGACGAGCGCAGCCCCAGCAGGACCCGGGGGGCGGGGGGCGGGGGGCAGCAGACTCTCGGGCTGTGTCAGGGTGGCCACGAGCCCGGGACCCAGGCGGTGCACCCGACCCGGGCTGGACCGCGTGGTGCTTCCCGGGATCCCCCTGCCCCGCGGCGCCCGCGGAGCTCCCACACAAAGGCGCTAACGCCACGGCTGCGTCAGGGCCGTGGCCTGGAGCCAACGTACCTCCTTGTTGGCCTCCTTATCCACCGCCGTCCAGACGAAGCCGAAGGCCCCGCTGCCCAGCGGGCTCAGCGTGAGGTACTTGTGGGAGTACGCGCCCTCGCAGGCCTCCTGCCCCTCCAGCTCCACGGCCCTGGGGGCGTCGTCGAACCAGGGCTTGCTTCTCAGACCCTGGGGACGGGGACGGAGGGGCCTGAGGGACCACGCGCGACCAAAGGAAAGGAGGCAGCCGCAGGCAGACTCGTGTGTCACCGGGTCCCCCGCGCCCCCTGTGCCCCGCTGCGCTCCACGTGGGCCCAAGCGGCCCACCCGCCGACACCCCCGCCCGCACGTGAGGCCGTCACAGCAGAAGGCCCAGCCCAGAGGCAGCGCGGAGGAGGGCGCAGGGCGGCAGCCGGCGCAGGCACCCACCTCCCCGATGCTGGAGCCGGAGGCCTCGCACACGGAGTGGCTGGAGCCGGGCAGGCTGGCCAGCAGCAGGCAGGCGCGCGTGGCCGAGTCCCGGGGGCCGTGCAGCAGGTCTTTGACGAGCCAGCAGCAGAACAGGGTCGCCGCGCCCTGGAGCTCCACGCGCTTCACCTCAAACTGCACACCTGGGAGGGGCGGGGGGGGGCGGTCAGCACGACGCTTCCCAGGGAAGGACGCACACTCCCCGCGTGGGGCGGGAGGGGGAAAGGCCTGGAAGCCCGCCTCAACCCCCGCCTACCCGCCCACCCTGCTGTCTCGGTGCTGGCTGCCAGGAGTGTGCGTGGCTCGGGCACAACCACGCACGAGGGGATCCCTGGGTGGCTCAGTGGTTTGGTGCCTGCCTTTGGCCCAGGGCACGATCCTGGAGTCCCGGGATCGAGTCCCGGGATCGAGTCCCATGTCAGGCTCCCGGCATGGAGCCTGCTTCTCCCTCCTCCTGTGTCTCTGCCTCTTTCTCTCTCTCTATCACAAATAAAAATAAATAAATCTTAAAAAAAAAAAAAAAAACAACCACGCACGAGGACGCACGTGCGTACGTGTGTCTACACGGCCTCTGGGGCGGACGCCGAAACAAGTGGGGTTATCCTTAGAGGGCGAGTACAGGTGACCTGAGGTCTCTGTGTTGGCACTTGTGCTGTTTCTACAGACCACACCGAGTACGGGCATCGCTTTCCAAAGCTGAGGAAAAAGCCTTAGTCGCCAACACTGTGAATCAGCTGCAAGGAAACAGCTGGCCAACGTGACTCGGATCCGCTAAGACGTCAGGAAAATAGGAAAGTACGACAAAGATAATCAGCCCCCAAGGGGCCCCTGACGCCGTCCTAGAGCGGAGCCGCCACCAGCAGCCTGAGCCCCAGCAGCGCATGCGGGGCGTCCACGGAGGCCTGGGCAGGGGATTCCGTCCCGGGATGCACGCAGCGGCTTCCAGGGAGGGACGCAAGGCAGCCGGGACCTCAGTCCACCCTCCCCAGGCACCGGCACTCGCAACCCTGACTTTCAAGAGAGGACTTATCACTGCAGCTCCCTTAACACTTCTGCCAAAACCATTCGCAGAGGGGAGGGGGTACAGCCCCGTCAGACCCCAGGACTGGGAGGCCCTGCCCCCGGCCACGCTGCGCTCCAGCCCAGCCACCCGTGGGCCCAACAGGGCACCGCCGCCCGGCACATACTCAGCTGTACTCCGTCCCGGTGGTAGCAGCTGCCGGCGTAGGTCCCCTCCTGGATCCTGTGCTGCGTGCACATGTCCCCGGGTGCCACCAGGCTGTCGTCTCTCACAGGCGTGGAGGTGACCTGGAAACTCAGCCTGGGCTCCTCTGACGGGCACACGTCCACGGGGCCAGCCCCCGGCGCGGGAAGCATGCACGGTGGGCTCTCTCTGCCACGCCCTTCCCCGCGCTCCGAGGACTCCAGACAGGTCTCCGAGAGCTCCACTCGATCGGGCCCCAGACGGCTCTCGTGAAACTGCCGAGCCTCCCCGAGATGCCAGCACGTGCCGGTCAGGAGCAACAGCTCCCTATCATCCAGAACATCCGGCCTCCGTCCGTGCAGACCACTCACGTCCACATCGGAGCCCGCCGGCGAGGGGGAGGGCGTGCCCACAAGCTCGGATGCAGCGCAGGAACAGGTGGACGAAGTTCCATCTGCCCACTCACTGAAACGCAGTTCCTTGAGGTTCCAGGAGAAGGAATTCCCATCGGCCTCCTGGGCCTGCACTGTGTCCAGGACCCCGGGGAGGTCTGTGGCCAGGGCATAGTAGGCGGAGGAGCTGCCCACGCGGCTGCAGAGGTCCCTGCCTCCCGGGTCACACAACGACACGGGGGGCGGGAGCGGGGGGTGCTCTGCTGAGGCCAGCTCGCTGTAAGAGACACCCAGGGGCCCCACAAAGCTCAGTCTGGACAGCTGCTCCTTAAGCAAGCACGTCTGTATCTCCTCTCGGTCATTCTCCACAGCCACCCAGGGCTCATCCAGCGTCGGCGTTGAGAACAGGAGTCGCACTGTCCCAGGCGGGCTTCCTGGCTGCGTGCTCTGCTCGCCCCCATACCCAGGGTAGGGCATCGGGAGCCCCTCCGCTGCCAGCTGGCCCGCGGCACGGGGCTCGGGCATGACGGAATCAGCCCGATGGTTGGAACTGCTGGCACTACTCAACCCTGTCCACTCTAGCTGAGCCTCCTGATAGAGGCCACACAGTTCAGCGTTTCTACTCCTGCCCTCAGCTAGAGCTGGGGTCTCATGTCCTCCGTGGGAAGCACACGTCCATGTGACCACTGGGTCACACCTGCTTCTTCCCACAAGGTCCTGTCTGAGGCTCTCTGGAGATGCAGGTTCCTCTTGCCCCAAGAGAGTGTTCCACTGGTCCTTGGGCGATGACTGCTGGTTATGGGCTGGTGGGCTTCCTTCTGGGATGTCTCGCTGGTCCTCAGGTGATGACCATCCCTGAGCTGATGGGCTTCCTCTTGGGATGTCCTGCTGGTCCCTGGGTGACGACTGTTGTCTATGGGCTGGTGGGCTTCCTCCTGGGATGTCTCGCTGGTCCCTGGGCGACGACTGTTGTCTATGGGCTGGTGGGTTTCCTTCTGGGATGTCCTGCTGGTCCCTGGGTGACGACTGTTGTCTCTGGGCTGGTGGGCTTCCATCTGGGATGTCCTGCTGGTCCCTGGGTGACGACTGTTGTCTCTGGGCTGGTGGGCTTCCATCTGGGATGTCCTGCTGGTACTTGGGCGACGACTGTTGTCTATGGGCTGGTGGGCTTCCTCCTGGGATGTCCTGCTGGTCCCTGGGCGACGACTGTTGTCTATGGGCTGGTGGGCTTCCATCTGGGATGTCCTGCTGGCCCCCGGGTGACAACTGTTGTCTATGGGCTGGTGGGCTTCCTCCTGGGATGCTTTCCACTCTGAGGATTGCAAAATGGATAACGTAGTTACTTACGGGCCACGGAAGAATAAAAGGAGAGATCACATGGATACCCTCTGTTAGAGGTGAGTACAAAGCATTTAACACCATAAACTGTGACCACCTCACAGATGAATCCTCATTTACCAATGACTTAGCAAAGATGACACTGAGCACCCAGGACCACACGCTCAGGGCTCTGATCAGCAGTCGCATTTCACAGCGAGTGGGGCTCCCTGACAGCGTGCAGCCAGCCTCGACCCACTCACAAGGTGCCCTGGGGAGGTGTGGGAACAAAGGAGAGAGATTTGAGCGTCCTGTGCACCGGGCAATGTTGACCTGTGACTGGCTACAGATGCCATCGGGAGTCACAGCCGACAGGAAACAGAAGCTGGCACAGGGAGGCGGCCACGGAGGGGAGGGGGTGCTAACTGGTTCCTAAGAGCCGACGTGAGCCCACAAGCATGGTGAGCATGAAGGCCACTGAGGAAGGGGCTACCTCAGAGCCCAAGGGCGACGGCAGAGCCAAGGGCCCTGGGTGGAGACCACACCCCTGCAGCTGGCGGGTCGCTGTGGCCCCACCAGACATTGCCGCTGAGCTCCAGCCTGGGGGCAGCCCCAGGCCTGACACCAGCACCAAGACCAACAGAACGTGGCTGTGCCCTGCCTCGCTGGGGGCGGACGTGCCGGTGATCTGCTAACATTATACCACAGGTCTGTAAGGAGGCACAAGGGAGGACCCAGCGCAAGGACAGGTTCCACGGAGGGAGCTGTGAGTGGGGCTCTGAGGCACAGCAGCAGTTCCCTGGGGACACTGCAGGGCGGGACAAGGGTGTGTAAAGGCCAAGGTCATCTACGGCTCACTACATGGATCTCTATCCATCCACCCCAAGCCAACAGACCAGCCCTGTGCCGGCCCCCAGGGAACAGAAAGGTCTCAATCCCCTTTCTAAGCAGTGTGGCCAACCCCTCCAAGGTGGGCACGCGGGGTCAGGCCCCAGGGCAAGGCAATCTTCCAATGTGGGCGTGTGGGGTCGGGCCAGGGCAGCACTGCACCTGCATCCCATCCCTCACGTCCCCAGCAGCCAGGTGTTGCAGGGTCACTAAATTCTGGCCTCGGTAAAGTGAGGAAGTGGTAAGTAGGCTTCTGAGAGAGCGTTTAAGTACAGGGGAGGCTCCTCTCCTCCCTCCTGCCCTCCTCTCAACTGCCCAAGCTGGCACCCGGCAGGGCCCCCAGCAGGGGAGCCGTGGGAACCTGAGACGCCCACCAGCTTGGCTCAGGGGTGCTTCACTCAAGGTCACAACACCTGATCTACAGTCTCACGACCCATTTGGCTTCATTATCAACTGGCTGTAAGCCCGAGTAAGACTGAGCTCCCAGGGCTCCTGGGACAAGTGGGAGGATCAGGAGCCAGCACCACCCCAGGCCCCCGGACACAGGACACTCCCTCCGTCATGCTTCCGACCTGCCTTCCCACCTCCCCGTCTCACTGAGTCAGCTCATTTTCTGCTAAAGGGTATTTCTTAGGGATGAGCCCTCAAGTCTTTGCAATGTTTGTTGAGTGAGTGATGAGTGGGAAAGCAAGGGAATGAGCGAGTAATGAGAGAATGAATGAGTCAGTAAGTAAACGAGCGCGTGCCGAGTGAGTGAATGAAGGAGGGAGTAAGCGAAGGAGTGAATGAATGAGTATATGAGTGAGCATGTCAGCGAGTGAATGAATGAGGGAATGAATGAGTGAATAGGCGAGGGGTGAGGGGGATCCCCGGGTGGCTCAGTGGTTTGGCGCCTGCCTTCAGCCCAGACTGGGACCCCGGGGTCCCAGGATCGAGTCCCACGTCGGGCTCCCTGCATGAGCCTGCTTCTCCCTCTGCCTGGGTCTCTGCCTCTCTCTCTCTCTCTCTCTCAGGAATAAATAAATGAAATCTTTAAAAAGAAAAAAAAGGGGGGAAGGGGTGAATAAGGGAGTGAATGAGTCAATGAGGGAGTGAATACAGGAATGAGTGTGTGCCTGCATGAGTGAGGGAGTGAATGAGCGTGTGTGGAAGTGAGCGAGTGAAGCAGCACAGTCACGGCCCCTGGCCGGGGCGCTGGGCTGGCGCTAGAACTCGAACGCACCACGTCCCATCTGAGAGCCGCCGGGAGCCTGGCCGGGACCCCCAGCCCCGAGCCTCGCGGGGCTCCCTCCAGGGAGGCACCAGGACTGTCACTTTTTACTGTTACGCTGCTGCACTTGGGGAAGAAAAATGCACATATTCAGGTATATTTTTTAAATAATTTCAAGAAAACTGAAGAACATAACGACGTGGAGAAATCTCACAAACTGATGAGCAAAAGGAGCCAGACATAAGGGACCGCCCAAGTCAAGTTCAAGGACAGACCCCCCTGACCCCCGTGCTGCCCCGGGGCCCAGAGGGCACAGGCGACAAGGACCACGGGCTGCACGCACACCCGAGGCCTGGCGGGCCAGCGGGGACCACGCGACCCGACCAGGGGTGAGCGAGGAGCCTCCTCTCGGCTCCCCTGCCATTTCCACGCTTTCCAGTGTGAACCTGCTCTACTCTCAAGACAATACTTTGTTATTCAAAAATGCACAAAGGAAACGAATACAAATGATTTTCAACACGGAAGGTTGGGCTTCCATCAGTTCCCTGGAGCCCCGTTTCCTGGCCCACAGGACGGGCACCAGGGCAGGGCACGCGGAAGACGAGGCGCCCCGCAGGGGCCCAATGGCCGGATGGCAGCGCCCCAGCTTCGGCACCGGGACTCGCAGGTGCTCGCGGGCCCACCGCCGCCCTCACCTCCGCACCGCGCCTCCCTCCACGACTTACCCCGAAGTTGGAGTCGGCAGACGCGGGAGGGAAGGGGGCAGGCGGTCTCCAGGGTCCGCGGCAGCCTGGGTGCCCACGACGGCTTCCGGGGCCCCCCCTCGCTCCGGGGCCTCGCCCTGCGGCTGAACGCGGTCTCCGGCGAGCGTGCCGCCAACCCTTGGACCTGGCCGGGACGGCAGGAGAGGTGGGTCCGGACCGCGGCACACCTGCCCAGCAGGCCTCCTCCCCTCCTGGGACCCCATCCCAGAAACCCGCCAGCCGCTGTCCGCGGGGCCTGGGGCCACCCATCCCCCTGCCACCCCGCAGCCCCCGCCCGCCCCTGCTGCATCCCGGGCCCCGGCTCCAGCCGCAGGGGCCCACGAACACGGGCGCTGGCGCGAGTGCCTCCCCAGGGCTCTGCTCCCACTCCGGGTAAAAACCAAAGTCCCCGCCGTGACTCCCACGGCCCTGCGGCCCGACTCCTGATGCCCTCGCCGGGGCCCCTGCGGAGAGGCCACGGCCACACCTGGAACTCCTCTGTGCCCGAAACGCCGCTCCTGCCTCCTCGGTGCTTCACGGAGAGCCACCTCCACAAGGGGCCCTCCCCGGCCGGCGGGCCCTGACACCCCACGTCCTCCCGCTTTGCTTCTCCGCACCTATGCTCGCGTGTCACCGCCCCCCTACTGGCTCCGGGGCGGGCACACAGGGTGACCGGGTGGGAGCCGGGAGCCTGCCCCTTCAGGGCCCTCCGAAAGAACCCCCACCCTGGCCGGGGGCAGGCTGCCCACCTTCCCAACGGGCATTTGCACCACCGCAAACGAGCACTCATCCCCACGAACCCAGGAGCGCCACTTCCAAGGATTCACCCTGAGGGGACACAACTCTCATCACTGCCCCCTCCCCGCCGTTTCCTACAAAGAACATGCATTAAACACGCACACAGACGGAAGAACCTGGAATCGTGGATAAAGAGGAAGGGGAATGTGACCTAGTGCTAGAGAAAGAGCCAGGAAAAGGGAGAGTCACCCAGACCGGGCGCAGGACGCCCCGCCGAGAACGCCGGTCGCCGAAGCGCGTCAGAGCCCAGCGAGGCACCCCTAAAACAGAACGCCACAACCCGACCTCTAAGGCCCCCACTGCGACCCGCGGGGCACGGGGCCCTGGGGGGAGGAAATCTCCCGCAGAGCAGAGCCCGGGAAACTGAGCGCGGTCCTCTTCCTGTCGATGACTGTCAAACCCAGGGAGGTGTGCAAAAGCAAGTCCGCCTTCCGGTGACCGCGCAGGGCCGGGACAGCCCCCGAGACATGCGATGGCTGATGCTTGCCGCTCCCCAGCTGCCCCCTCCCGCAGGAGAGCAGAGACCGGGCCACAAGGGCCACACCGTCAGCGTCAGCCCCGCTGGGCGAGGACTACGGGGGGGGGGGGCGAGCGGGGAGCACTCCTGAGGCAGAACTGGGGAGCAGCTCCTCCTTGCTCCTTGTGCACAGAAAGGCGAGCAGCAAGGGGGTGGCCAGGCGGCCCCAGTGTCTTCCCAGGAGCACAGCCACCAGCCCTGCGGCCCTGTGGCCCGGTGCTCCGAAGCCACCGCGGGACCCTTGAGCGCAGGAGCTGTGCGCCCACAGTCTTCACATACCTGGCACCTGGGACGCTCACGTGCTGGGGACTTGAAATACTATTAGATGCTAAGTTAAAAGGTGGAAAAACATGATGAGCACGTATCGCTAGGACAGTTTAACTTAGGGGTTACTGAGATAGGCTACATAAGGCCACACACATCGACTGGCCAACAAGTGACTCGTGTCTTTGATACAGGCACCTGGTGACAAGAAAGCCCCCGGGGGCCTCTCTGTGCTCCCAGGCGTCCCATCCCCTCGCCCCGAGGCAGGGGGCTGCCTGTGCGGTGCACCTGGGAGAGGAGGCAGGGCTTACCTGAGGCCGCGCCAGCCAGGTTCTGGCCCTGCCAGGGGCCCGCACTTGTCTCCCCGGGCCTGCTCTGGGTGCCGATATCCAAGCGGTCGGCCAGGTCTGGCAGTGGTAAGGAACCGTCACGCACAAGGTCCATGTAGTGGTAGAAGCCGGGGATCAGGAAAGTGATGTTCTAGAAAGCAGACAGTGGAGAGGGTGCACGCTGACCCACAGGGCCGTCCCCCATCTGATCTGGGGAGACGATGAAAACAACGTGAGCAAGTCTCTGCACGAGGTTAGCAAAGACTCCAGGTCTTACTCCTTTCCACCGACCCACAAAGCCCCACTGACACTCAATGTGGAATTCTTTTCCATTTTCTTATGAAAGAAACAAAATTAACGACCCTGATGCTACTTATACCAACACCTCCGTGTCTTCCAAGCAGATGTCTGGCCTTGGCCCCATGTTGCCCTTAGGCCTGAAAGCCACGTTTGCAAACCTCACCTTCCACGGCTCACAGGCAGTGACAGGTGCCCAGTGCAGGGGCAAGAGGTCCTCGGCACACGAAATCGGCCCCTGGGATCCAGCAGGTGCCTCAGCACGAGGGTCCCAGGCCCAAAGCCGCAAGGACTCGCGTTTTCTCTGAACCCACGTGCGAGCCCTTCTCCCGGACGGTGCCCGCAGCCGTGTGAATCCAGAACACAGTCCGACGTCGGAGGCAGGGCGCCTCCACCCCACAGACTCTCTAAAAGGGCCCGTGCCCCCAACATTCCTGCAGGAATCCCTTGTCCAGAAATCACACTAAGGGCGTTTTCATTAACTTCAGTCAGAGCTTGCCTTCATTTAACTAAATCTTAGCGTATCTGCTCATTACTATTTCAGAGAGGGACTTGTTTTTGGAGCCTCAAGAGGTTAAATGTCGGGCAGCCCGGGTGGCTCAGTGGTTTAGCGCCGCCTTCCGCCCAGGGCGTGACCCTGGGTCCCAGGACCGAGTCCTACGTCGGGCTCCCTGCATGGAGCCTGCTTCTCCCTCTGCTTGTGTCTCTACCTCTCTCTCTCTGTCTCTCAATAATAAATAAATAAAATATTTTTAAAAAAAGGAGGTTAAATGTCTGGCTGACTGTCACTGGGTCTGGGGTCAGCCCCACTGAGAATGACAAGAGGGGACTCTCCCTCCACATGCAGCAGCCCGTGGGGAACAGGGCACCCAGTGAAAGGCTGCAGGCACTGAAGAGCCAAGCCAGCCAGGCGCACGGGCACAGGGGCCGCTGGGCTTCAACGTCGACACAGCACGCAGCGGCCTCTCCTTCCCCTGTGTGCCCCTCCCAGGACCCAGGAGGACCCTGGGACCATCCCAGGAGGGGCACACCACGGCTGCCCTTGGAGCTTGGCCCTCAAGTGACACACGGGGCTCCCGACACCAGCCCCAGCCACAGTCCCGGCCAGCCAGACACGTGAGCGGACGCGGCCCGGGAGGACGCCAGCCCCGGTGGACACCACACGGAGCCCAATGAGCCATCCTGCTACACTCAGCCCAAAGGGCCAATCTGTGACCTGAATACAAGATTGTTCTGTCTCAGGCACCAGGCCTATGGTGCTTTGCAGCAAGATACCAACAGCTGTGGCTCAGCACTCTCAGATACAAACGGGGCAATCGACGCCCCGGACGGGCCTGGCTCTCGCTGTGAAGACCCCACCCACCCACCACCTGTATTCAAGAAGTTCAGAGAAAGCTCACGCCAAGGAAGAAGTTTATAGAAACACCCTCCTCTGACCCCGACCACACCTCAGGCCCTCCCATGATGGCCCCTAGCGCAGGGGTGTGGATAAGCCCCCACCTCTGGGTGCAGAACAAATCTGCACGGTTGTGACATACACACTCGTCCGACACCTAAGACCAGACCTTGTTCAGAACAGGTTTCCAGGCCACAGCCCTTCCCCCTCCTGGGACAGCACACAGACAAGGCTCTGGAGCCAGTCCCGGGGTAGGGGTGGGGGTGGGGGGGGGTTTTTAGAGTGCTCAGTGGGGGGTCCTGAGAAGCGAGAGCCAGTAGTGAGAATGGCGCCCAGCATTCCCCCGGGGGGCCAGACCAGGAGACAGGGAGGTACCAGGCCTGCGACAGGCTCACGTCCTCACTGCGAAAATGGACCGGACCCCGCAGGGGAGCGCAGGCCGACTGCCCAGGGAGGACCCACCTTGCCCAGGAGCTCCGTCCTCCCGTAACCAAACAGCATCAGTGCAAAGCTGTGGTTGATGCCATAGATGGTGCCGTCGGGCAGGAGGGTGATGAGGCCGCTGATGGTGGAGAACACCCAGACGGATGCCGAGTAACTGCACTCGGGGACTGCCCTGCTGCCGCCCACCGCCTCGCCGCCACACTCAGATTTCAGTTTTAAGCTCAGGGGGAAGGTGGTGCCATCTTTGGCTCTCCCGACAGACCTCTGGATCTTGAGATTCTGGAAGAAACACGCTACTGAGCTGACGGCAGCATCTCACGCGGCCCAAGGCCTGAGTCTTTGTAGCTTTAGACTTGAGCCCACCCACGCGTCCCAGGGAGCGTGCCCGGACCCCCTCACTCCCCACACGGCTCCTCCTGCCCCAATTTCCCTGCACCCCACCTGTGCCCCAGGGAAAGCAGAGCCCTGGCGAGGAGCTGTGTCCGGGGGGAGCCAGCCTAGGAGCTGCTCCCCACTCCACAAGGGCCCGAGGGCCGCACACACCAGGGCAACCAAGAAATGTGCAAGGTGTGTGTGTCCACCCTGCGGGGAGGGAGGGCCAGCATGTTTCTCCCCGCCCTCCACCTTGGGACCCACCTCCACGGAGGGCCCCAGCCCCCAGCCTGCGGGCCAGTGGCTTCCTGCTGTTGCCGACCTCTGGGTGGCCTGGCCATGCCCCATCTGCCTCCTCAGCACCCCCATCACCCAAAAAACCACATCCTTGCCCTATTTCCCTGCCTTAAATACCTGGATTGGATCTGATTCCGAGTAAATCGTGACCAAGGCAGCATCCTAACCAAAGGCGTTGAGATAGCACACCAGCCCAGGGTTGTGTGTCAACCCCCTCCCCCAATCCCACCTGCCCCTTTTAGGGTCTACCCTGGGGGACAGGAGATCAGAAGGGGCCCCTGGGCGGGGGTGGCCCTGAAGGCAGGGGAGCTTGCACTCCACCAGCACCGCGCCCTGGATAGGGCCGGGACTCAAAGACACCAGGCTCCCCACACCAAGTCCCAGGGGTCCTACGAGGAAGAGGGTGCAGAGTGTCTCCGCTTGCCGCTGGGGTGTCCGGAGCCCCCATTCGGGGCCATCACAAATGTGCTGCTGAGAACACGCTCACATGCACCTCCTGGCACACACCTCTCTTGGAAGAAGAGACCCTAGGGTGGGTCTGAGGTTTGCCTACGTTCAGAGGGAGCAGACGCTGCCGCACAGGCTCCCAGAGCAGTTGTGCCAACGGATGCTCCCACCAGCTTGGGGACAGAGAAAAGGACATAGAGACAATGAGCTCGGGGGCCTCGGGGGCTCCAGGTGAGCTACAATGCTTAAAAGTGGCAGATGAGCAGCTCAGAGGACGGGTTGGCCTCAGCCCAGCCAGAGAACCAAGGAGCGTCTCTGGACATCCCAAAAGAATCTCGGATGCCCTCTCAGCAGATGATTTGGGCAAAAATCAACCATCTAGTCTGATTCTGCAGGGTCACCGGGGTGTGACATCAGCTGGATTCACCGCAACGTGGGCCACGCGTGTGAAGGCTGCACACAGTAGGCAATGGGGCACCAAGAGGCTGGGAACCTCTGCCCACCAACCCCAAGCCCCCAGGCCCCCAGCGCTGCCAGCCCTCCGCCAGCTGCCTGTCACCCTGCCTGCAGGGGACACCTGCCCTCAGCTGTCCTCCTGCCCCTCAAGACCCCCAGACCTCTCAGTAAAGAGACATCCCGCAGGCAATGCCTGCTCCAAGCTCCAGGGGGAGGAGCAAGCAGACGGGGTGGCCGGGTGGAGAGCCGCACAGGCTCTGACCCGAGGTCAAGGCTTCAGAGCCCAGACAGCAGTGAGTGGCCCGGGTCCACTGTGCACGCACGCTCCTGCCGCCAGGATCACCAGCCTAAGAACCCAGCGGGCACCGAATGAGCAAACGTCAGCAGCCACGGGGCCCCAGGCACAGCGGTGAGGTGTGGCGGTCAGGGGTCCTCAGGGGCTTACCTGTGGGACGGGCTCGCCGGGCGGGGGCAGCTGCACAGAAGGGATCAGGTCTGTGACGCGTTGCCCGAGCACCTCCTCGCTGGACACGAACCCATGCAGGAGAGCAAAGGGGCTGTCGCACGACGTGATGGTTCCCTGAGAGAAAAACCCAGCATTTTTAAGCATCACGATAAAAACCTCTGGCACTTCGGCTGCAAACGTCGTTGAACGCCAAGCCTTCAGGCTGCAAGCAAGGCCGTCAGCAGCGCTCCTCGGGCAGAAGTGCAAGCGGCGGGCACGCTCCTGAGGTCATCACCTCCTGCGGCCAGAGGCACCCAGATTATCGATTTCTCAAAACCTCCTGCAAAGCCCGGCAGCCCCCGCTCCGATGGCTCTACACGTGCTACTCTGCTGACACCCTAAAACAATCCTAGGGGCGGCTCGGTCACATCCCAGCTTTCGATGGGAGGCTGCAGTCCTCGCCCAGCTGCACACATGGGGAGGGGGTACAGCGGAGGGGGGGGGACCTCTGACAGCCCCGAAGGCAAGAGGCGGGCGAAGGCCGCTGGGAGAGGCGACACACGGTCAGCTCCCTGCGGCTGGGACACCAGAGGCACTCACGTCGCTTTGGAAGGTGACCCAGGCCGACACCCGCTCCACCGGCTCCAGCACGACCACGCAGCACGGGCCGCGCTCCTGCTTCACCTTCTTCATCCACACGGACACCGGGATCTTCTCCCCGCCACAGCTCACGATGTCCACCTGCGGGAACGCACAGCCTCACACCCGGCCCTCCGCGGAGCCCAGGCCGCCCGCCTCGCGTGGGACCTCTGTCTCTGAGCGGACGTTCCTCAGAAGAGAGGGCGTTTGCATCAGCTTCCTCGGGGGGGGTGGGGGGGAGTGTCATTTCTTCAGGAAACAGACACCAAACTGGGATGAATCCTGCATTTTCGTCCTCACTATCGCCAGTCCCTCGGACAGGTGGCTTTTCGGAAGCAGCAGGCACATCGAACCCCCTTCGGTGCCTGGGCTGAGGGCTCGGCATCTAACACGCAGCTCAACCCGCCAACATCCCAGCTGGCGGTCATGCAGGGAGGACCACAGGGAGGACCTCCGCCCCGGGAGACCCTGCCAGCCCTGCCAGCCCGCGGGACGAATGCCGAACACAGGAGATTCAGGGGTGCCGAGCGTAAGACCAGAGCAGACCGGCAGCGCCCTGCGCCCAGCCAGCACCCGCCCACGGCCACGCTCCTCCTCCCACGCCCGCACGGAGGGAGGCCCCAGCGGCGCAGCCCAAGAGCCCCGCGCTCACCACGGTGCCGAACACGACTGCGGCGCGGCCGTCGGCCTCCACGTGCTCCTCGCTGAGGGCCTTCGCCACGTCGGAGTCCGGCTTCAGGAAGAACTGCGTGAGCCGCTGGCCGATCAGGGCGTGGCTGCTGTGCCCCAGGAGCTGGCACGCCTTGTCGTTGGCAACCAGGATCTGGGGCGCAGAGAGGAGAGGACGGAGCGTCACCAGCAGTGAGGAGGGCACGGCCCAGAGCCCCCTCCTCCGGCGGCCTGCGGTTGGCGGGTCCTAACCCCCGGGAAGGAGACACGCCTGCGCCACAACTGAACCGGCCTGTCCTTCGGCCGCCGAGACGAGCCCCACGACGTCAGGACACGGAAGCCACGGGGATGGACAGCACCCGGCCACCTGGCCACGCAGCCCTGCGTGGCCCCGCGCACGTAAACGCCCATCCTGCCCATCAGCCCTCGGCCGTGAGTACCCGGCCCTCCCGGTGGAGCCGAGGCCCCGGCAAGCACAGGGGAGCGACCGTATCCCTGTCCCGATCCTCTGCCTTGATGCCAGGAGCCCATGTGTTCTGCGAGATTCGGACGCAGGCCTCTGCTACTATGTGGGGGGAACCAGATGCTTCTCTGACTGCACCACACGCCCACAAACTCTCCCGTCTGAGGTTACGGGCTCCCGGCAGGGTCACGACCCCAAGCAAATACCTCTGTGGTCTTGGCGTCCACGGTGAAAACGGCCTTGTTCGGGTTGCACACAGGGGCGGGGAGCAGGGGCGTGGACCACCCCGAGGACAAGCCCCGCAGCAGCGAGCAGCAGGACATGCTGCCCAGGGACCCGGCCGCTTCCGTCTGCTCGGGCGCCACCAGGCAGTGTAGTTTGCTCGTGCAGATGTTCTGGGCAGCCAGGGACGACAGGCAGTAGGCGCTCCATCTGTCCTCTGGGAAGAAAAGCAGCGGCTCTGGGCCCCACAAGGCTGCCGAGAGCTCGCTTCTCACACACACGCAGCCCCGCTCTCAACGCCTGCACAGGGTCCCAGGCTCACGCACCCCCGGCGCCGTCCAGCCACACGGACTCCCCGGCCCACGCACGGCGTTCCCGTGTGGACACTCCGAGGTCCCTTCCCACCCACCCCGAGGGCTGCTCTCCTGTGTCCTTACAGACCCACAGCCCCTCCAGCTACCACCCTGCACTCGTTCCTGGAAAGTCTCCCAACCCAGGAGCTGCCTGCGGTCCCAGCCCCTCCCTCATTCACGGACCAGGCTCAGCACGCACCCCTCCAGAAAGTGTGCTCTCGGCGACACGTCCACTGGGTCCCGAGATGCTCAGCCCCGTGGCCAATTCTCAGCACTCACCCGGCCCCAGCCCTCAGCAGCGCTGGGAGGGGGGCTGCTCCCACCTCCCAGACCACCTGCCCTTGGCCGGGCTCCCTGTCCCCCACACCTGCCTGACCTCTCACCACCAGAAGACCCCAGGCTCGGGCTCACGGCCTCCCCTCCACCCCGCCCACCCCTCGGTGGCTGCGAACACACTCCGCACAGGAACGCGCTGCTCACCCCACACTCACAGCCCTACCCTGCCTCTGCGCCCTCCCATCTCAGTAAGTGGCAACTCCATCCTTCCAGCAGCTCAAAACCCAGACAAGAACAACTCTTCCCTCCCTTCCCCTTCTCAGTTCACAGGCCCACCCTGGGCCATTCTCTGAGCCTGGAAACTGCATGGCCATCTGCTCGGCCCTCCTCCTGCCACGCTGCCCCAAGCTCAGCTTGACCCTTCTCGCGGCACAGGACAGGCCCGAGACCCCGGCTCTGCCCCTTCTCCCCACGCAGAGAGCGGGAAGCCCACGCTCCTGAGGGCAGCTGCCCGGCTGCCTCAGAGACCTGCCCCGTGGAACCTCTGGCCCTCACCAGGAGGACCCAGCATCTTCTTCCCTCTGAACACTCCCACCCTGTGCTCCCAGGTTGGTGTGGGAGCTGGGCTCCAGCCCTCCTCTTCCTCCTCTCCTCCTCCCTCCTCGGCAGCCACTTTCCCCTGCTCCGGGCCTCCTTGTGGTCCTAACACACTTCCCATGTCCTAGGTCCACCCAGCTGCAGGCCTACACCTGCTATCTCCTAAAGCACCCCTCAGACAACGAGCCTCGAGCTCTGGAGACACTGAATGACCTGGAGAAATAAGCAAGTGAGTGGTCAGGAGGTGCCTCAACATCTCAGGCAGCCCCAGGAAGCAGGCGGCCCTCAAACCTGCGTGACTCGTCTGCATCCGGGAGGAAAGCACGAGCCTGCAATGCAGTCTGTAAAAAATTACTGAACTAAATCACCAAAACTGTATCTCACTTGCACGGCAGCCGCACGCAGGACTGTGCTCCACAAGCTCTGCAGCAAGGAGAGGCTCGGGCCTAAGAATCACAGCAGCACAAATGCAGCCCGACAGGGTCCCACCAGCATCTTTACCAGTGCACATGGGCCACCTCCTACCCGACAACAGAAAACTTGACCAGAGCCTCCAGCGGCTCGTCACTTCCACTTTCGACACTGATGCCCATGGTGCCCGGGGGGGCGGGGGGGTGTTACCAGAGAGGGCCGTCCTGCTCTGGCAGAGCTTCGAAAGCCCATTCCTTCTGCTCAGGTGTCTGTGGGCCGAGGACAGGGACTCGCTGGGCTCACAGGTGGTCTGTGCAGCCAGGCTCTCAGGGGGGCCTCCGTCCTCCATCAGGAGCCACCAGGCCAGGGGATCAACCGTCAACTGGAAGACAAAGTGAACCCGATCAGCATTGGCAACAGGACAGTGGTTTCACCAACGAGCCCCTCTCCAGGTTGGGTGCAGCTCAGCCCCGAAAGGCTCCCACACACCCAACCGCCACGCAGGCCAGGACCTACGGTGCACGGCCAGTGGACCTCAGTCCTGCTAAAAGGAGCTCTCCCAGAGAAATGCAGAGGAAGAGATGGGAAAGAGAAGGAAACAGGGAAAGAACAGAACAGGGTATGAAGGGGCCGTGACGGAAGGCCAAGGCTGCAGCTCCGCACAAACCGAAGTAACTCCCCGGCCAAGAACCCTCCCACTGCCCCGAGCACCTGCCAGCCGGTGAGGCTCTGCGTGGCCCCAGCCTGCACCAAATCCGGTGGTTGGTTCTGACCAGCTGCATCCAGAAACAGCAAGGCAAAGCCAAGGTAGAGAGTCTGGAGGTGGGCCTGGCACCAGAGATTGGGGTTTTTAACTTTTTATTTTCTTTCTTTTTTTTTTTTTTAAGACTTTATTTATTTATTCACGAGAGACACAAAGACCCAGGCAGAGGGAGAAGCAGGCTCCTTGCAAGGAGCCAGATGCAGGACTCGATCCTGGGACTTTGGGGTCACGCCCTGGGCCAAAAGCAAATGCTCAACCACGGAGCCACCCGGGTGCCCTAACTTTTTATTTTCTAAATACTAGTAGATTTGCAAGCAGTTAAGGAAAAAAATACAGAAAAATCTCAGGTGTCCTTCAGTTTCCTCCAGCAGTGACATCTTGCATAATCACCATCTAGAGGCCCAGCCACGGGCCTTGATGAGGTCAGGAGTCCGAGGTGCCAGGGCAAGGCACCCACCCCGCACCTGGGAGCCCTCCCCACCATCACCTTCCTAGTACTTGGAACCCAGTTTTGAGACCCACATGGGCCTCTTCCCCCATCAGGGCCCCATCACGGGCACACACACAGGCCCAGCTGGGGAGCTGCCTTCGCAGGGAAGACCAAGCTTCGCTTAGCAGACGGGGGCACCCCACAGGACGGACCTGCTACAGAAAGAAGGGGGGTGCTGGCCCTCCCCAACCACCACACTGAAATAAGGAGCACCGAGGAGGCCCAGACCACCAGTTAGTTCTCTCCTGGCTTTAGGTCATCGTGAAGATTCACCACCAGGACAGGAGGGCAGGGACTTTGACCGTTAACAGTCTGTGAGCCAATTCATAATTGTGCATACGGTGACGACAGCATTGGGCCTCGAGGAGGCTCACGCCCCAGGCCCCTCAGCTGGGAGGGCCCGGCTGACGCTCCCCTCAGCCGCCAGCTCCCGAGCATGGGGGGCCGGGCTCCCCAAGGCGGACAGTAACTGGAGGCCCTGCTATCACTAGCACGGAAGGACGCTTAAAACACGCCAAAGAGCTACGCAAATGGAGATCAGTACAGCAGGGAAACAAAACAGACAACAGGACATCATCCACTTGAGAAACGGACCAAGGTCTGTCGAGGAGCCCGGCACACCGTGAAGATCAATGGGAAACGAGCAGTGTTCCCCAGCACGCGAGGGCCAGGCAGCCGTGGCCGTCCAGCTCCAGCTCCCTTTTCTGCAAAATGTGAATAAGGACAACGCACACCTCACAGCGCTCGCGCGAGGACCCACGGGCTAAGCTGGGCCTGCAAACGATAAATGCCAAATAGCTGTGAGCTGCCAATTTTAAAAAGGATGAGCGTCATCACACCGGGGTAAAGTTGCATCCCTGTGACTCACCGTGCACGAAAATTAGTTCCAAGTGGATCTAAAAACAAAGGATGAAAGTTCTGGAAAAAATAAAATAAAATGAAGACTACGATGGTCTGGATAACTTTGGAGCGGCCCCCGCCCTTCAGAGCAGCTAGGGCTCACGGAGAATATCGGTCCGCGGCATCTCGGAGCTGCTGAGAGTGAGACGCACACTTGGGAAGATAAAGGTGCACACGAGCTGGAGCTGGAAGCGTGAGAGTCACCCTCAGGGGCGGGGGCTCCCCTCACAGAAGTGGGGCGCGGAGGGGAAGTGTGGCCTCCGGGCAGCAGCGGGGCCCTTGCTAAAGCAATCTTTCCAAAAGCAAAGCAACCTCAATACAGGTTTCCAAGAGCAAGACCGACCACATACGCTCCCCTCCAGGGGTGCAGACAAGGAAACAAGCCACCTTCAGGGAGTCTACAGAAAAATAAAACAGGTTCAGACACGTGAGAACATCAGATATTAGAAATACCTGTGCACGTGTTTAAGATGTGAAAGATGGGAGTCACAAAAGTGAGCAGGACAAGGGTTTCCCAAAAATAACTTCATATTGAAAGAACCAAACCAGCTTCTTAAAATTAATTTTTTTTAATTTCAGCATTAAAAGAAGAATGCATTTGCAATTTAAACTTTCCCACAAAGATCTCTAGGCCCAGATGGCTTCACTGATGAATTCCATCAAAATGCTTAAGAAGGAAATAACATCAATACTAGACAAACTCCAGAAATTAAAAATAGGCGGAGGGATCCCTGGGTGGCGCAGCGGTTTGGCGCCTGCCTTTGGCCCAGGGCGCGATCCTGGAGACCCGGGATCGAATCCCACGTCGGGCTCCCGGTGCGTGGAGCCTGCTTCTCCCTCTGCCTGTGTTTCTGCCTCTCTCTCTCTCTCTCTCTCTCTCTGTATGACTATCATAAATAAATAATAAAAAAATTAAAAAAAAATAGGCGGAGCACATCCAGCCCAGGGTTTGAGGCCAGCATCACCCTGACACCAAAACTGACAAAAACATGGCTAGAAAAAGAGACCACAGACCAATAACTTTCGTGAACCGAGATGCAGAAATCCTCCACAAAATGTCAGCAAATCCCCCAGGGCAATGTGGCAAAAGAATTCACTACAACCAGGTGGGGGGGTTTATCGCAGCAATAAAAGGTTCAACCTTTGGAAATCAGTCAACACAATTCACCGTATCAACAGGCTAAAGAAGAAGAAGGAAAAAAAGGAAAAATCCCACAATCATAGCACGTGAATTGATGTGAAAAAAGTATTTGACAAAATCCAACACCCCCTTCCTTCGTGGGAAAAAAAAACACTCAACAGGAGGAGAGAACGTCCTCCAGTGCCCCCCGTGCCCCGGAGCGTCCAGGAAGCGCCAGCGAGGGACGCGCACCTTCCAGGGTCAGGAGCGAGCGGGGAAGCCCATCTGGCCTCTTCTCCGGGCACCGGGCACCGTCCTGGGGGCAGAGCCCGCACACAGAGACAAGAGGAAATAAAAGGCACGTCCACTGGAAACCGCGGCACAAGGCTGTCTCATGCACAGGTGACGGGGTCAGACACGGAGCAAGGGCTAGGGTTTTCCTAAGGAGACGGACAACCACACATTTTCTTCTCTGGGGCGTGGAGGGTAAAGGTTTTAAACAGACGCTGCGGAGGAAGGCTGAGGACCACAAGGAAGCGCCTGGGAAAATGTTCGGCGCCGCCAGCCCGGGAAACGGGTCACACCGACAGGAGCTGCCTACACCCGCACGCGGGGGCCCGGTTGCCAAGAGGGGAAGCACAGGCTGCGGGCCAGGAGCGGGAACCCGTGGGGAGGGACACACCGCGCTGGGCGGCCGCCTGCCCGTCCCCCCGGGCAGGGTGATCGCACCAGTTCCCACCCAGGAGAGGAAAGTGCACGACCGCGTGGGCTTCCATGGACACGTGGACGACCTTATTCAGAACACCCCCAACCGGAAACAAGCCAAATGTGCCCCCACAGGCGAAGAGATAAGCCAGTCAAAGCACAGCCACGCAGAGAGCCCTACTTGGCAACAGGAAGGCACGCTCGGGAGGCAGTGACGGCTCGCGTGGGTCCCAGAGCCGAGCGGCTGCCAGAGAACACGTCCTGCGGGATGCCCACCACGGCAGCGCGGGCAGGCAGGCCCCATCAGGGGCGGACCCTAGGGGCAGATCGCGGCCCCTGACCCCCCACCCCACCCCCGTACCCCCAGGGCAGGGACTGACTCAGCACAAAGGAGCCTGAGACTGGAGGCGCGAGGGCTCTCCACTCACCTGCGCCCGCGGGTGTGCGCTCAGCACCTGACGCTCCCTGAACTGGGCACTTAACATCCGCACGTTTCATTGTCTACATCATCTCAATAAAGTCGAATTTTAATGCCGATGATTGCGTAGGACGAGCAGGCAGGCAGAGCTGAAGAGAAGGCTAGAGGATCGGGAGACCTACCTGAACACATGACCCAGAACGCCACGCAGGGAAACCAGAATATAAAACTACGAGAGGGAAGAGATAAAGAGAACCGAACGCCTACGTGGAGAGAGGAGAGGAGGAGCGAGAGCGAGCAACCCTCCATACTCAGGGAATCCACAGATCCAGGCCCCTGAGGGGGCAACTCAGCCTCACAGATGTGAGAGCCCGACAGGAAGCCGTGGTGAGCTGCGTGTGCGTGTGCGTGTGTACATGTGTGTGTGCGCGTGTGCACGTCTGGGCGGGAATAACCAAAGCAACCAAGGGAACAGACGCGGCCCGCCCAGGCCTGCGCAGCTACCGGCACCGACCCCGGGCTGCGGGGACAGTGCCTCCCCGGGACACCCCGCCGGCGCCGAGCGGGGGATGCCCAGCCAGCGCCACGGGCAGCCAAGAAACCGCCGGAGCACAGCGAGCACAGCGAGCACACGCCCCACGCACAAAGCAACATCTGGGACATCAGGGACTTCACCTTTTGTGAAGCTCAAAACAGTAAACTTCCAGAAGAAAATTAGACTTTCTCTAAGACTTCGGGCAAGGAAGGTTTTCTTCAGGGAGACACAAAAACCTCTAGCTGTAACATAGGGTGATAAATTTAACATTAAAGCCGAGAATGCTTGTTTGTTAAAAATATCACAAACAAAACGATATTAAACCCCAAACTGGGAGAAGGTATCTGCCACATATACAACCAGGAAATTAATACTCAGGATACTTTAAAAGGTCAATAACTTAAAATTTAAAAAAATAATAGTAACATAGATACACACAGATCCATGGGAAAATGGAAATAAAAATTTCACAGATGAGGAAGAGGCTTTGCTTTATCAGCATAATCATGACAATGTCACACCTACTAAATCAGCAAAACCTAATGATTCTAACAATATAAAATATCAACACAAATGTAGATCAATAGGAACTCTAACAGGGACACCCGGGTGGCTCAGCGGTTGAGCATCTGCCTTCGGCCCAGGGCGTGACCCCGGGGTCCTGGGATCGAGTCCCACGTCGGGCTCCCTGCATGGAGCCTGCTTCTCCCCCTGCCTGTGTCTCCGCCTCTCTCTGTCTCTCATGAATAAATAAATAGAATCTTAAGAAAAAGAAAAAAAAAGGAACTCTAACAGATTAATATAATGTCTGCAGAAAATAATTCTGGTCATATACTAACCTACTAGGACAGTATATTCTACTCTTAGGTTTATAGTCTATAAGATCCTTGCACGTATACAGCAATGTTCAGGGCAGCCTGGCTCACAATGGCAAAAGAAAAAAGGAAGAAAAGAAAAAAGAACACTCATCAACAAGTAAACAGTTTCAAAATTCTGGTATATTCACGTTACGAGTTATAACAATGAAAACAAACGCTATACACACGAGGACAAATCTTAGCTATACACACGAGGACAAATCTTAGCAATATAATAAGTGAAAAAAATCAAGTCACAAAAATTCCCTTTTTACACCGCCCCGCGTAAATACATTGTTGAGGGGACACACAAACCTTGGGCAGGTTCCCTGTGAGGGCCCAGAGGCAAGCTGGGATGCAGGACGGCAGGACGGCCCGGGGTCTTTCCGCTCCTAATGTGGGCAGTGGGCTTAAATGTGTTCACTTCGCTGTTAATGATTCATGACTGATGTCGCGTCTATCCTTTTGAGTGAATCGATCAGCATGTACTACAAGGTTAGGAGGTGTTCTCCACACACATGTATCTATCCAGGGTGGGAGGGCTGGAAGAGCAACAGCTGATTATGAACCAAAAGGGTAGGAAGCAAAAGAGAAACTGAATAACTACTAGAATGTGTTGCTTTCTTTCTCTCGGCATCGAAATAGACAAATTATTTTTATTATTTTTATTTTTTTAAAGATTTTATTTGTTTATTTATTCAGAGACACAGAGAGAGAGAGAGGCAGAGACACAGGCAGAGGGAGAAGCAGGCTCCACGCAGGGAGCCCGACATGGGACTCGATCCCGGGGCCCCAGGATCACACCCTGGGCTGCAGGCAGCACCAAACCGCTGCGCCACCGACAGGGCTGCCCCGGGGCTGCCCGACAAATTATTTCTAAAATAAGTAACAACACGATCATAGTTTCATTTCTACTTCTACAACCAACCTATCAACAAAGCACAGAGACTTGACTATAGCCTCAAACTACACTGTGGACATTACAGAGCTTTAATTTGTAAAAAAACAAAAACATGACTCTTCAGACTACATTGTAAGAAGTTTACTAATAAATGCATTGTAAATACTATAAAAGTTTACTTTGTAAAAGTAACAAGAACAGGGAGCGGAGTTAAGGCCAAGTTGGTCTTTCCTGGGAAGCTGGGGACAAGCCGTGTCCAAAGCTGACAAATCAAGGAGTGGACGTAAGAAAGCTGAATCCTTTTCCCCTTTTGTGTCTTCTGTGCCCTGAGCCGGGTCCACACCGCACCCCACATCCCCACCGCGGGGGACCGGGGCCTGTGCAGAGCCACCCGGGGCCTCCAGCTCCACAGGCACAGGCCGGCTTCATGCGGCCTTACATCGCTCTGCTTTGCACAGGTTTAATTCCTATGTGAGCCAAAAACACCTGCCAGTCCAGCCCTAAGTTTTTATAATAGTTTTTCTGGGTTTGGGGGTTTTTTTGCACCTGCTCTGGGGGCCTCCTACGCCTGCCCAGGCAGGCAGCCGGGACTTTTTCCCAAATACTGACCTTACAGGGCTCTGTGGCTGGGAGCAACAGGACCACACATGCGGTGTCCAAGGAGCGCTCCAGGGTGGGGGTAAGGGTGGGGGCTACACCGATACAGGCAGGAAACAGGGGTGGAAAGATGGAGAGCGGAACCCGTAGACCAAACGTGGCACAGCACCGACCTAGATTTACTGGGTGATGCAAGGGAATGAAGGGTGTCAAGACCGCATCCGAGTGTCGCGCGCTCAGGCTGCAGCCTTCCTCTGGGAAAAGAAGAGACGATTGAGCATAAAGCCAGGTTTGAGGCAGCACAGCAGTGGGTGCGCACACAGATCTGTGCACGGGGGGGGGGGGGGGGAGAGCCGGGGGTGGAGGGGGAGGGTGGAGAGCGGGGGGAGGGGGCAGAGATCTGGGGGTGATGGAGGGGGGGAGCGGGGTGGGGGGGGAGCTGGGGGTGGTGGAGGGGGGAGCTGGGGGGGATGGATGGGGTGGAGGGGGGAGAGCTGGGGGTGGTGGAGGGGGGAGCTGGGGGGGATGGATGGGGTGGAGGGGGGAGAGCTGGGGGTGGTGGAGGGGGGAGCTGGGGGGGATGGATGGGGTGGAGGGGGGAGAGCTGGGGGTGGTGGAGGAGGGAGCTGGGGGGGATGGATGGGGTGGAGGGGGGAGAGCTGGGGGTGGTGGAGGGGGGAGCTGGGGGGGATGGATGGGGTGGAGGGGGGAGAGCTGGGGGTGGTGGAGAGGGGGGAGAGCTGGGGGTGGGGGGGGAGCTGGGGGATGGATGGGGTGGAGGGGGGAGAGCTGGGGGTGGTGGAGGAGGGAGCTGGGGGGGATGGATGGGGTGGAGGGGGTAGAGCTGGGGGTGGTGGAGGGGGGAGCTGGGGGGGATGGATGGGGTGGAGGGGGGAGAGCTGGGGGTGGTGGAGAGGGGGGGAGAGCTGGGGGTGGGGGGGAGCTGGGGGGATGGATGGGGTGGAGGGGGGAGAGCTGGGGGTGGTGGAGAGGGGGGGAGAGCTGGGGGTGGTGGAGGAGGGAGCTGGGGGGATGGATGGGGTGGAGGGGGGAGAGCTGGGGGTGGTGGAGGGGGGAGCTGGGGGGGATGGATGGGGTGGAGGGGGGAGAGCTGGGGGTGGTGGAGAGGGGGGAGAGCTGGGGGTGGGGGGGAGCTGGGGGGATGGATGGGGTGGAGGGGGGAGAGCTGGGGGTGGTGGAGAGGGGGGGAGAGCTGGGGGTGGTGGAGGAGGGAGCTGGGGGGATGGATGGGGTGGAGGGGGGAGAGCTGGGGGTGGTGGAGGAGGGAGCTGGGGGGATGGATGGGGTGGAGGGGGGAGAGCTGGGGGTGGTGGAGAGGGGGGGAGAGCTGGGGTGGGGGGGGGAGCTGGGGGGATGGATGGGGTGGAGGGGGGAGAGCTGGGGGTGGTGGAGAGGGGGGGAGAGCTGGGGGTGGTGGAGGAGGGAGCTGGGGGGATGGATGGGGTGGAGGGGGGGAGAGCTGGGGGTGGTGGAGGGGGGGAAGAGCTGGGGGTGGTGGAGAGCAGGGGGAGCGCGGGGGGGGGGGGAGCCTGCCACGCCCTCCCCGCTCCGGGACGGGACGCGCCTTCCCGCCGGAGACGGGGCAAGGACGCCTAGAGAACGCAGGCTGCCAGCTCCGGGCGGACAGTGCGCGGGCGCGGCCGGGCCCCGGGCGCCCCCTACACGCATCCTCGTTCTCCCCGCCCCCCCCCACATACACACACCCCGGCCTCCCCCACACACGCGGGTCGCCCCGGGTCCCGGGCCAGGGCACCGCAAACGGCCGCAAGGTGGCGGCCGGCCCCCCCCCCCCCGGGCGGAGCCGCACGGAGGGGACGCGGGGGGAGCGGGGCTCCTGGGCCCGTCCGCCGGCCGCCTCCCCCGGGGCAGGCATCCATCTCACCTGCGGCCCGCCTGGGCCAAGCCGCCCAATTCGCTTCCCCGCGCGGGGAGGGGCTGATCGGCCGCACCGGCCAATCGCAGAACGACTCGTGTCGATGGACAGGCGCCGCGAGCCAACCAGTGGCGCCTGTGGGCGGGACTCCGCGAGCCGGCGCCCAGAAGCCCGCGCTAACGGTTGCTAGGGACGCACCGGTCTCCCCTTACGGCGCCCCGGAGGAGCCAAAAGAGACGGCGCCCCCGCCCACCGGGTCTGACCAACTCCGTAGCTCTGGTCTCCGAATCCGGAAGGGTGAGCGGCGCGCGGCTCCCCGTCTGCAGCCCCGGAGGCGGGGGGCGCGGGGAGGCTCCCTCAGCGATGGGCCGACGTCCCGGACCCCGACGGGCGCCCCCCGACCGGCGGGCAGTCCCGGCTCCGACCCCGGCTCCAGCGCGGGCGCCCTGCGCGGAGCGTTAACCGGAGGCAGCCGCCGCTCACGGGCTGAGTCCGCGCGGCGACGTCGGGACGAAGTCAGCCGCGGTGCAGACGCAGCGGCGGAGCCCGGAGGGGCCGGCACGCACTCGGCGGGCCCGCACGGTGCAGCCCCACGCGGAGACCCCGCACGAGCCCGCGCGTCCCCAGCGTCTCGCAGGTGCTTCCCTCCGCTTGCCTGCAGCCACGGTCCCGTGCGTCTTGCTCCTCCCCGCTGCTCGCCTCCGGACGCCTGCGGTGCGCGCTCAGATTACCTGTCCCGGGGAGGTGAGGCGGGCGGCTCCGCGGCGGGGGCCCTCATGGCCTGCCCCGTGAACTACAATTCCCATGAGACACCGGGGCCGCGCAAGCGCGTCGGGGTTCAGGCCTGGCGTGGGAGCCCATTGGCCGAGCTGGCGCCGAGCCGGGAGCCCCGATTGGCCGAGGGGCCTGAGGCCACAGATTCCGGAAAGGGGAAGAGCAGCCAACATGGCGGCGGAACGCGGCGCGGGCCAGCAACAGTCGCAGGAGATGATGGAGGGTGAGCGGCTCCGCGGGGCGGCGGCCCGAGGGCCCGGCGGGCGGGGGGCGGCGGCCCGCAGCGGCCTCGCCTGAGAGGAGCGGGCCGTCCGGGCTGCGGCTGCGGCTCGGGCCCCGCGGCGCGCGCTGACAGCTGCCCGCCGGCTCGGGGGCAGGGGCGCCCCGGCCCCGGGGACCCGGCAGAGGCTGCAGCGGCCGGGAGGGCGCGGGCGGCGGGGCGCGGACGGGCGGCGGGGCCGGGTACGCCGGGCGTGCTGCTGGCGGGCGCCGCGCCCCGAACCTCCGAGCCCGGCAGCTCCTGGGGAAACTGAGGCGCGCGGCGGCGCGGAGGGAAGGGCTGGGCGGGAGCCGAGCGGCCCGGGCCCCCGTGGCCCCCAGACGCTAAATCCGACTCTTTAGCTCTGTTGGAGAAAGAGAGTAACGATCCGCACGTGGTCCCCGCGCGTCGGCGGCCCGGGCGGGGGTCCCGGGCGGGGCAGCGCCTCACCCGGGCGCCGAGTGCCGGGGGGGGGGGGGGGGCACCTGCACAGCGGCCGGAGGAGGACGGAGGCGAAGGGCCGTGGAGGGAAGCGGCCAAGAGTGACCGCCCCGTCGGAGGAGGGCGGCAGGGGAAGGCCGCGGCGGCCTGGCGAGGGGCTGGCTGGGGTGTTTGGCCGCCAGGAGACCGCCCCCGCTCAGTCCGCCCGCTCGCCGCCGTTTCCGTGTCTGGGTGAATGGCACAGACAAAAGCCATAGGAGATTCTGCCCCCGACCCCGTCCCCACCCATCCCGTCAACCGGCGAGCTCCCAGCTCGTCCTGGCATCTCCAGGTCTTCGGTGCCTCCTCGGTTCCCACTGCCCGTGCTGTGGGCCAGCCCCCTTGCTCCCGGGATCCCGGAACTGCACCATAGTTGGATCCGCTGCCCCAGCTGCAGGCCGTCTGCTGCCTGCAGGGTGGTCCCGCGTCGCACCTAGGCCGCCCGCCGTCGGCGGAGTCCCTGCAGCCCTGGGCACAGCCACGCCTCGCCCAGTGGAAGGTGCCCTCCCTTAGCCTCGGCCACAGAGTGCCCCGTGCCTGGTAGCAGCTAACTGCCGAGTGTTTACTGCGGGTCATGCACATGCCGACTGCCCCGGAGGCTTTTCTGCGTTAGTCCGGACAGCACCTCTGGTCTGTGGGGCCTGTCCCAGCCCCCTGGTTACAGATGCAGAGAGCGAGGCTTGGGAAAGCCAACAGCCTGTTGGCACCGGGTCTCTAAGGGCAACGTGAAATCTTCAGCAGGAGCCCCCGGCGTTCCAGAAACCTGTAGAGTCAGAGCTCAGATTCGGATGTTAGAATCGCATCAGATGCTCTGGGAATGCAGAATAGATGAGACAAAGCCCAAAAAAGAGCCACGGAGAGACCAGTTAGGAGGCCAGGAGGGAGCCCAGGCAGTTGCCAGAGGGGGGGGGGGGGGCAGAAGGAACGGATTTGGCGGTTTGGGTTTTATCCAGCAGTCGCTTCCCGGGCGCGCTTTTCTCGGCCCAGGAGGAGGTACAGAGAAGAAGTAAAGCTACTTTTCCCCCAAAGAGTGCACCCCTTTGTGGACGAGGCGTAGCAAGGATGATTGATGACTCCCAGGGATTTATTCCTGTTTCAGCTCTTTGAGACAGACTGCCAACGGAGGTGATGAAAAAAGTCTGGAGGAGGGAAAATTATTTGACGGTCTTACCGAAGAAATTTTGCCGGTCTGCCATGTTTAGTCATTGCCTTATCTATCAATTCAAAAAGTACTTATTTACCAGCCTTTCAAAGTAGTCAGCTGGTATCACCGTGTGCTGATGTTTGGCATCGGTGACCTTTATGTGGGGCGTTTGGCGCTACTGGCTGTCTTTCCCTTTTTCATTGCAGCCCCCCCCCTCTGCCCACAGTCTGATTTGAGTTAGTCTTGATTTCTTTCAGAACGTGGGCCTGTGAACTGGGCTGGTTTTCTTGGCCAAATGGATAGTGGAGCGTGGATGAAGGTATGTGGTGGAAGGGTCACACTGGTCCCCTCTACGTGGACATCCAGGCCAAAAGCAAGCCGCACAGGAGGCGCTTCACTGTGTGTCACCCATTAGTACCTGGTCACAAAAGACCCAGGGCTTTCAGAACACCTGGTAATGCTTCACAGTGTCCTCGAGGGCAGGAATAGTAGCTGCTCATCTCAGTACCCGCGTGTCCTTCCCGCTCTGCCCTCCCACACACAAATTGTCCCCAGCACCGTGCACCTCAGGTGGCGCCCAAGACGCGGAAGACACTCAAATGTTTGTCGAGCTGACTTCAACCGATGTTTTTCAATGAAGTCTTTTTGACTTACAGCTGGATGTCCGTCTGTTAAATGTCCCTCGGGGAGTCACGTAAAGTGGCTGTGAATTCTTACGGATGTGTGTGGGCTCAGTTGACAGGCGGGTCGAGTCTGAAGAATCTGGCGATGAGGAAGGGAAGAAGCAGAGCAGCGGTATAGTGGCCGACCTCAGTGAGCAGAGCCTGAAGGATGGAGAGGAGCAGGGGGAAGAGGACCCAGAAGGTACCAGGCCCAGTTAAGAGCCTTCAACTCTCTAAGGGGGGAGGGTGCGGCCGTGTGGCGCATGATCTGCTCAGCCCCACCCCACCGCCTTGGGTGGTGGGCAGGCCAGGGCAGTGGAGGGCAGTGGGACGACTGCTGTGCGAGAGGGGCATTCCTTTGGCTGGCTCTGGGTCTGCTGATGCAGCACTAGAGGCCCACTGGGGGCCGGCGGCCGGTGCTCCGAGCAGCGCGCCCCCTGAGGCGCTCCTAACTGAGCTGACTCATCTGTGGCACTTGCGGGCAGGATGCATTTGTTTTGAGTTCCCCTGAAGGCAAATGCTACTACTAACAACAGTGGTACTAGTGTGTGATCCGGGACGGAATCAGGGGATTGTTTTATTAACCATATGTTCAGAAAGTGAGATTTGGAAAAAAACATTTTCGCTGATGATGCTTTTGTTTCCTACTGTAGTAATGTAATTTCAGAATAGCACTTTAGAGAAGTCACTTCTAAGTCCTGCTTCACCATCCTTAGGGGCCTGAGGATTGGCTGCTAAATTGCTTAGATGTTAGGAAAATTGTCTCATGCAGAAAATATCTCAGTAGCCTCCTAGCATTTTAGTGTTTAAAAACAATAACAAAATTAACTAAGAGATGAGAAAAGTAAATTCTCATTCCATAATGGTGGTTTTCACCCTCCGCAACCATGATCTTTGTTTGGTTAGAAAAATCAGTTTAGGGCAGCCCAGGTGGCTCAGCAGTTTAGCGCCACCTGCAGCCCAGGGCGTGATCCTGGAGACCCGGGATCGAGTCCCACGTCGGGCTTCCTGCATGGAGCCTGCTTCTCCCTCTGCCTGTGTCTCTGCCTCTCTCTCTGTGTCTCCCATGAATAAATAAATAAAATCTTTAAAAGCAAAGAAAAGGGAAAATCAGTTTACATTGAAAAGAATGAGAGAGCATCTGAACAGACAGAAAGGTATCCAGGATGCGTTATTAGGTGAGAGCTGCAAATTTCCAAACCCTATGCATGTTAAAGGCCGTCTGTTAAGATTATTAATAACATGTAAGTTTCAACATACTTAAAAGAGAAAACCCATCAAACTGCAGTTGAGGGTCTCTGAAGAACACTTTTGAGAGGGCCTCATACCTTCTGCATTTTCTAGATTCATATACAACGTACGGACTTTCAAGGTGGTACTAGTCATGCACTCCCGTTATGGTAATAAAACTTCCCACAAATTTCTAAAAAACAAAACTAATTTTTAAAATAACATTGTGCTCTGTGCCAGTGAAGATGATTGGTAACTATGGCAACCTAATTTTAAGGCAAAGGGAGATTACCACAAAAGTATCAGCCACATTTACTTTGGAGTTCCAGAGTCGATATTCTGGAGGTGATGTGGGTGGAATAAATGCATGGGAGTGATGGAGGAAAGCACTCGTTACTGAGTCACAGAAAGACCAAGCGAGTGGGGGCATCACCTGCTGTCACAGCTGAACACTCCGCGCTCACAGAGGACTGGAGAGTTGGTGGGGCCCTGTGCTGAGGATTTCTCTCCCTGGGTGGTGAGCTCGGGCTCCCTT